CTGCGCAAATGTGTACTGACTCGCACTCAGTGACTACTAAGTGTTGGCAACATGTCAACACCGTCGACTCGATGGGACGTTCAAACGTGGCCGGAGCTACGTTTAAAATTGTGCAGGCCATTGTGAACTTGGTGATGCAATACTAAGCGCAAGGTGATGACGAAGAGTCGGACGGTTCTTGCTTCGCTGGAGAGTTCTCACTCCTCAGAGAACCATCGGAAAGCATGATCGAGCTCTACGCGGTGTTGATTAATTTTGATAGTTCTATATATTAGAATTAGACCATTAGTTCACTGTGGAATGTACGTATAACTTCTGTGGCGGGTGGCGATGGTATCTAGAGAACAACGTATGTGAGTCTATATAAAGATCCATGATGATGTCTTAGACACTACTATTACACAATAGCCTTCTGCCAAATGCATCATGTCGGAATCTTCCGAACACGACACGACGGTTTGAAAGATTATCTCAACTCGAAACCCCAGTGGATTTCTATCTCGGATTGCCAAGCTTCTGAGAATGAGAGCATACATCTCTCTGTAGAATGAGAGCAGCAAGTGACCAGCCACTATTTGCGGCAGGAGGAAGAAAAGTGAACCTCCGGATAAAATGTACCAACGCCGTAGTGCTAATGGAACGGCACAACCTTGTTGGTGACGAGGCTAGACGCTAATACTACTCATCTATTATCATAATGACGATAAGAATGATGCTTAGTCGAACGTCTGTTCAAAGATGGTAATCGGCTTGTGATATTTGACCTTTTCACCACCTTACTCATACACTAAGGAGATATCGATGTAGCAGTCAAAGGTCCACACTGCGAAATCCGTGGTGGAAATGTTATATCCGAGAACACACCCTGGGAGTTATTCGTCGCAGTGACAGATGCGTCCACATACGCGAGTCATAACTGAGTCCGCAGATATGGATTTTTGCCTTGTAGTGCGGCAATGGCATCAGCTCTGCTCGCGGCCTTGACCGTGCCAATCTGAAGAACACACACGTTAGTGTACAATGTGCGCTAACGTGTTTGCATGGCTACGATGCATACAGATGTCATCGGTATTAAGAGCTCCTTCCCCCCGTCGACGTCTTTACCACTACTGAGACGAGCCCTGGGGATGAAAACACCCACATCGACCATCGAACCCTCATCTAACTCGATGTGTCGTGCTGTATTCCCCTCTGCATGAATGTCATCATTGACGGGAAATGGGTTTGCCCGGAGGACTCAAAGTTCCAGAGTAGGATTATAGCGCGTATAAGCACCATTTTAGCGACTCAGCTTGCCCGAGTGGCGATCAGTGCTGGCCAAATTAGAGTTTCGGAGGGCTCTCGGCGTACACAGGCAGACGGAGAGTACCAAGGTCCACGTTGATGAAAGTGTCATTCACCAACAAAGCTTGGGTGTAGGCGAAGACGACCAGATAGATTACTGCGATGTTTATACCCATCGTGAACAGCATCCAGCAATAAGAGTTTACTGCTAACGAAAATAGCCAATGACTGTCAAGTGCTTTATACACCTCGTGTCCAAAGTCCAAGGCTGGTCTCAACGTGATTTAACTACGAGTGTGCGTGTGGGCCAAGCCTCGTCACGTGTCGAATCGACCACAACTGTGAGGGTCGCGTGGTATGAGTCCCTCAGCTGCCACTTGAATTTAGGAATGCCTCCAGCTCCTGAATATCGTGCTACGAGTTGGGTAGTACTTAGTCGTACTGGATAATGCCTAAAACTGCGACAAACTTGAGATCGATCGCATTCACGTACGTCAATGTCACAGGCCCAGCCCACGCGAGCAATTATTATCGGCGTTAGTCGTTTACACTCAACACCTCGACAGGTTCATAACAGTGACACTCATAACAGTAACAGCAATGCAGACATGACAAGGAGAGCTCAAGGCCTTCATACTCGACTGAAAGCTAGTTCTTTGGAGGCTCGCGACCGCACCTGGAAGATTCCTTTTTTTCGCAACACATACCTTTGGGAGACCTACCTGACGTATCACCACTATGATAGCGAATACCTGAGAGAAAGAAGGTACAGCGAGAGGCTCAGCCGAGTGCGGACGTACAATGGCTATAAACACGACCATCGTGGATTGCTTCACGACGAATGTCCCGGAGTTGACCTTGTTCGTGTCTTCTGGATACGTAATGGTTTTGACCAGGCGCTTGGAATTGATGACCGTTGGAGAACTCCGGACGAGGTCCGTATTCTGAAATGGGAGAGTTCACAATGGAGTGGTCACAGTTGAGGTCACCCATCTCTGACTGGTCTCATTTTTGGCTGTGGGACGAGAGTTCATCTGACCTTTCTTCTCCTCATCCTCGACTACCCCGACGGACCGCTTCTCCATAGTGTGGTCCCAAGGATGGTCATCCACGGTGTGAGACCAGTGAGGGTCCGACAGGTGGTCCCAGGGGTGCTCCTCCAGATCATGATTCCAAGGCGCCTCTTCCACCGGAGGCAACCGGTGTTGATGATCCCGCTCACTCCCCCAGAGATGCCTTTCTAGCTCACGCGACCAATATTGATCTTCTGCTCGGTGATCCCTAGGGTGGTCCTCACTTCCGTGATACCAGGGACGGTCCTCGGCCTTATGGTCCCATGGATGGTCATCCGCCTCGTGGTCCCAGGGGTGGTCCTCGGTCTTGTGGTCCCAGGGGTGGTCCTCCACCCTGTGGTCCCAGGGGTGGTCCTCGGTCTTGTGGTCCCAGGGGTGGTCCTCCACTCTGTGGTCCCAGGGGTGGTCCTCGGTCTTGTGGTCCCAGGGGTGGTCCTCCACTCTGTGGTCCCAGGGGTGGTCCTCGGTCTTGTGGTCCCAGGGGTGGTCCTCCACTCTGTGCCCCCAGGGGTGGTCCTCCACTCTGTGGTCCCACGGATGGTCCTCGACCTGGTGGTCCCAGGGATGGTCTTCCGCTCTGTGGCTCCAAGGATGGTCCTCGGTCTTGCGGTCCCAGCGGTGGTCCTCGGCCTTGTGGTCCCAACGGTGGTCCTCGGCCTTGTGGTCCCACGGATGGTCCTCGACCTGGTGGTCCCAGGGATGGTCCTCGTGGTGCCAAGGACTGCTCTCTGCCCTGTGGTCCCAATGATGGTCTCCACCGTCATACATCGATTGATGGCCCCCCTCCTCTCTCTCCACCGACTTCCATCCCGAGTCCACCTCTCGACCACCCTCACGGTTCCAATGAGAGTCTTCCTCTTCCACCTTTCCTTTCTCATGGCCGCCATGGTCCAGCTCCCACTCGTTAGGGTCGAAGGCCTCCTCAGTGTGTCGACGATATAGTCCTTCAACGTAGTCGTGAGCGTCGCCGTGTTTCAACTTGTTGAGAAACCCAGGATGGTAAAACTCTACTTCCTTCAGAACGTCTCTGAAGTCACTCGAGTGACCGTGTGTATCGAGTAGTCTCATCAAGTCCGCAAGACGCTCAGTGTTGTGTTCACCAGGATGGTGTTCGTGGGAATCGGGGAAAAGGACCCGTCGGAAGAGATCGAAGGCGGCCTCTTCCAAGTGACCAGGGTCTCTACCAGATGGCGGATGACTGTTTGAGTATTCTTCTTCACGATAGGGTTGGCCTGGTTCGTAAGGCATGTTCCTATAAAAAGTCAGACAGTGTTCATGGCGGTGGACTTCGGAATCAAAGTCATCGATTAGAATGGCGAGCGCGGTTCGCGTCAACTTTTCTCGATGTCTGTGATTGTTTGGCGTGTTCAAGCTTCGGAAAGGAGATCGTTGCGACGAAACTACAATGGGGCACTCCTTTCTTTATTGTCACGCTGACTTTTGCAAGCTCTAGTCGATTCTCGTCAGGACTATTGATCGTTGTTCTTCCGACTGAAGTGAGTCCTCTGGGATAACACTACTACCCTAATAATGCTAGCGAGCCGAAATGGTCTAAGATTGGCAGCTGCTCCGTTTGCTGCGGTATCGGCGGCAAGAGCCTTCGCAACCTCCTCTGCATCTGCGCAGACGGCAGGCATGGTATCTTCTCGATTCGGCTGGCAGAGATCGAGAGAAGACAACAGGAAGAGACTAGCGGTAAGAGGACCATACAGACCCCTGCCCTCACTTGGTCCCTCAGATGGTCTTCGCTGGTAGCGCCGCTCTCTTTGCGGGGGCCCTGGCGGTCAACGAGTCCTTCACAAGGCACTTCAGTGAGTGTGAAAACAGCATGCCCAAGGAGGATCCAATGTCGGTCTTCGGGATGGTAGACGGATTAGGTTGGAGGGTTGGTGGCAGGTATCGCAGCAAGGAGAACAAGCCCGTTCAGAAGCCCCATGAAGGGGAGCCTCATCACGAGGAGATCACTGTATTTGCTGGTAATGGGGAGTAGGTTGGTATCTTAGCACGCTCCATGAAAGATACACATTAGGTCGGTTGCGGGCCTTTCGGAATAGGGCGTTCTGTTGTCAGGTAGCGCCAACAGGAAACTGGCGGAGAGCATCTGCGAACACCTTGGCACTCGCCTCGGCCGAGTCGCCCTCGGTCGCTTCGCCGACGGTGAAGTTAGTCTGCGTATCCAAGAGAGCATCCGCGGCAAAGATGTGTATCTCGTCCAACCCACCTCCCCTCCTGTCAACGAGAACCTCATGGAATTGCTTCTTATGATCTCAACATGCAGACGGGTAAGGCGGAGGTCATATGCCCATCTCCCATGTGGTTTATTGGTAGGCCTCGGCGAAGAGAATCACAGCTGTGGTACCTTACTACGGGTACGCTAGACAAGATCGTAAGATGAGCAGTCGCGTGCCTATCTCTGCCGCTGATGTCGCAAGGTAGTGTCTTCCGACCTACCCCCATGCGTTAGTGCTCCCTCCTTGCAGACTATTGGAGACCATGGGTGTCGACAGAGTCGTTGCAGTAGACTTGCACTGCGGACAGATTCAGGTCGGAATAATTCGCAATTCACCAGGTTAGTGATTGTCATCATTTATAGGGGTTCTTCGGCCCTCGAGTGCCCGTCGACAACCTGGAAGCCCAAGTTATCGGCTTGGAGTACTTCCTAACAAAGCCTCTCGTGAAGCCAGTGATCGTCTCTCCTGATGCTGGTATGTAGGATGAGCCGCCGCTTGTGGTCAGTGACTATCTCAACAGGTGGTGTGTACCGCGCCCGTAAGTTCCAGGAGGGCCTCATCAACCACGGTGTTGAGGATGTTGCCATCGCGATGCTCATCAAGCAGAGGGATCGCCCCAATCAGGTTGGTCCCGTGCCATGGTACTCCCCCTGTCGAAGGCGTTTTAGGTGGCCCGGATGGATCTGGTCGGTCAAGTGGCTGGTAGCGACTGCATTATCGTGGATGATATGATTGATACCGCCGGCACACTCTGCGAGGCGGCTAGAGAGCTTAAGAAGCACGGCGCCTTGCGTGTATTCGCCTTTGCAACTCATGGTCTACTCAGTGGCCCAGCAAAGGTGACCAAGATGACCCCGATCGGAAAACGAGACCGTCTCTGTTCAGGCGCGTATTCAAGCGTCCCCGTTAGAAGAGGTTATTGTGACTGATAGTATCCAGCACAGCCCTGAAGACTCCAAGGAATGCCCCAAGGTGAGTTTCCTCCCAGCAGCTGCTCTTTCGATGGTACTCTCCCTCAGCTCACACAGTTGTCGATCGCTGTGCTTATCGCGGATGCCATCCGTCGCATTCACCAGAAGGAGAGTCTCCATGACCTCTTTGGTGTAGCCCCCGACGCGTAGTTGCGATTGAAGTACCGGCGTGCTAATGTTTACGAATTGTCTTGTTGCAACTTAAGTGATGGTATCAGCAACAGCTGCTCTTCCTAGGATAGTGGTTTCACTGCAAAATCGACTTGTGTGGAGCGTTGCTCAGTTACACTTCTCTGCATTGGATTCGGATGGAGCTCTCGGGAGCTTACGCAGGCTTAGTGGTTGTTGGGCTTATAATACCTCACGTGCTACGATGATGCTTCCAGTTGCAACGCCTTCGCGTAGCAGTCTTTGCAATGTGAATAGGGAACGGTTTTGCGCTGCCTTGAACGTTGATATCGACACTTTCTACCGAGGTGTGCTACAGGAAAAAGCCTCGCTCTCATGAGATTTCGTGGCGCGTGAAAAGTCCTCTTCCTACTGTGTCTGTGATCATCCCTCTAACTCTAACACAATACTCAATGTAGCATAACAACATACAACGAATAGATCGACGTCCAAGCACATGTAACCATTGAAAACAATCTGGTAGATTCATTCTGGTGATGAGTCTGTAAACTCGATAGTTTCCCAATCTCTTGTGGGAGGGGGGAGCCGTACCGCCTTCCGGCCAGTCCTCGTGACTCGCTGAAGTGGCAACGGAGGAACTTTAAAGTGCTTCTGAAAAGCGACGTTCTTCTCAAACTTGTCGTCTTGCATTTCCTCAACGGTCGTCAATGATTTCCTCCCGGCCCCACTGAATGACTCGGGGCTCTCGACTTGGGCCGGCCAATGTTCATCATTGGCGTGCCGAATGATGGACGGGTTGGATTCTGTGCTGACTGCAGGTTGCTGTACAGACGACGTCAGCTCTTCACAGGGGGATGGACTGCCATCAGTTTGCTTGCCATGCTCACTTGCGGGCCTTGACTGGGCCTCTTCCGTATCTTGCTCGCTCAACCCTAAGATACCCCCAGGATGACTCCATGCTACTCGAACATCTTCGGAGCGCACACCACCATCCAACTCCTCCACAACTTCACCGACCGCGGACAACTCCCGACAGAAGGATGTGGCCTCCTCAGTGACAGCAAGCTCCTGCTCCTGCTGCTGCTCATGTGCCGTATCAAATACCGATACCTCAAGCCCACCCAGTTCCGCCACTACGTGTCTAGAGATTTCCTTTGCCGATGAGTAGTCAACGTCCTCGCGAGTCTCAAGATTTGCGCCACTCGCTGTTCTCATCTCTCCCTCTTCGACTTCCCATTTGAGCTCCCCAGGGGCCTCGTCTATGAGGCTGCGGTTAGATTTGAGAGTATCCACTGACGATTGAGAAGACGGCTGGGAGACCCTCTCACCAATGGCCGTCATAGTCTCATCAAAAGATGGATGTGGTGCTCCCAAGACGTTATCGGGTACATCCGGGTTATCACCTTTCAACGGCCCTTCCGCTGATACTCTCACCTCGTTCTCCGCTTCAGCACTGACCCCGTCAGCCTCCTCACTAATTTCGCCGGCCTCCTCACTGACCTTCGTGGTCCCCTCACAGACCTCGGTGGTGCCCTCACTGACCTCGGCGGTCTCCTCACTGACCTCGGCGGTCTCCTCACTGACCTCGGCGGTCTCCTCACTGACCTCGGCGGTCTCCTCACTGACCTCGGCGGTCCCCTCATTGACCTCCACGGTCTCCTCGCTGACCTCGGCGGTCCCCTCACTGACCTCGACAATCCCCTCACTGACCTCGGCGGTCTCCTCATTGACCTCGGCGGTCCCCTCACTGACCTCGACAATCCCCTCACTGACCTCGGCGGTCTCCTCACTGACCTCGGCGGTCTCCTCATTGACCTCGGCGGTCCCCTCACTGACCTCGACAATCCCCTCACTGACCTCGGCGGTCTCCTCATTGACCTCCGTGGTCTCCTCATTGACCTCGGCGGTCTCCTCATTGACCTCGGCCGTCTCCTCACTGACCTCGTCAGCCTCCTCACTGACCACGACGGCCTCCTCCCTACCGCGGTGACTCTTCTCCTCCATAGGTGAGTCGCATACCTGGAAACAGGTCATGGCAAATCAACCGATACAAGCATAATCCATATATTCGGACCGGTAGAGGCTCACCTCCCCCACTCTGCAGGTACCCAAATGACGGGATCGACGAGCCACTGAGACGCACCACCGCCGCACGGTATCACTGACGACGTTACGCATCTGAAGGGATGATCTACTCCAACCTGCTGACCTTCGTCCTCCCCAGCCTACCACTGAGTGAATTGCCTTCTCCATCAGCCTCGCTCCCTCACGTTTCCTCATCACTGCCTTCTCATACCTCTCCTTCTCGTCAACTAGAGCCCGATAGCCCATACCAATACTTCGCCGAGCCACCACAAGCGCCAGCCGCCTCAAGGAGCTCCTCCGAGCACCCGAGAGTCTATCTGCGTACCTCAGGAGTGCATCCCCAAGGATCCTAGTACAGTTAGAAAGTGTCTTTTCCTCCACCCTAGCCATCTGAGCATGGCAACTGAGGATTCGGAATGCACGAGCCTGCCTAGCTGCCACAGCTGACTTTAATACTCGACCGAACTGGTCAGAGGCTTTGAGCTTGCGGACTTCCACCGTCCCCTTCACGAGTTGCCTCCATGTGAAGAAAGCCCATCTACGTCTGACTCCAGCCTCAACCGCATTCACCAATCGCAAAGATTTCTCCCGCGCATCTCCCTCCGAGTCCCTCCGAAACCTCTCAAGGACCTCATGGTGCCTCCTCGCCGACACAAAGGAGGCGTATTGTTCACCTCGCATCTCTGCCACAGCGTCGCTCAACGCCGCTACCCAAACATTCCTTTCTCTAGGAGAGCCAGCGAGGAACTCAACCCGAGCGATGGGCGATGCGGGCCCTCCCTGGCATCCTTTGACGTATCTGAGGACAGCAATCAACACTGAGTTTGTTCGAGTATGAAAACGTGATCGTAACTATGCTAATGTACATCCTTGCGATTCCCATTTCCACGAAGCCCAACGATTGATACCAAAATTCCAGAAGCCCCATACCAACTTTATTGTAAATCGTTGATCGACTCGGTCGCTGTGGGAGAACGGTCCCTTCTCAACCGCTTCAATGCTGCTGAGACGTAGGACGAATTTAGGTCTCGCGTCGGCTTCCGACGAAAAACAGAGAAAGAAATTCTGCATTATGGCTGCCCACTCTCCCATGTAATGGGGTAGGAGGATCCCCTGAGGTAAAAATAAGGGAAGCAAATTTAGTCTTATGTATTACAAAACTCCGATATTTCCTCCAAAGGCGACCGCTGTGGGCCGCTGGGCTCCTCTCGCTGAGTTCATTGAGAGCTTCCGACTCGTCAGAAAACCTCAATGACCTTCTCATGCCTGATGGTTCCGTGGAGAGAGGCTTAGGTGAAATGGTGTCCATTGCATAGCACAAGTAGAAACTGTAGCAAACGAATATGGCCTTTCCTCACAACACAGCATCTAGGGTGACTCTGGCTAATCATTGCTACTGCTCCCGCACGGTGTGACACTCTGAGCTAGTGGGATGGTCACTGTCTTTATGCGACGACGGAATATCATCTGTGAATTTCAGTCTACTCAACCGACCGTTGAGTAGGGATCGTTTCTAGAGCTGGTTCTATGAACAGCAAATCCCAGAATCGTTTCTAGAAACGCTTCTCAGAATTAAAATCGGTCAGTGTTTGTGGCGGCTGCGTCCACTGAAACAACAGGTGTTGGTTGGAAAATGAGGGAGAAAATGCGGTGTGCAGGGATCGAACCCGGGAATGATTATGCGTGCGGGTACAATATGCGGGGCGCCCAGTACGAATTTTAGTAAGCAGTTCAGCGATCTTTTGCCTATCGCTTTCTCATCTGATCTTTTGATGGTGGCTAAGATCTAGGATATCAACCTTGCTCTATGGGATGACGGAAATAACCATTATAAAATCGAATGAACGTATGCATCTAGACTCATCAAATGGTGTGAATGCTGAGGAGTACTGAGAGTATCCGGCAAGAAGTAGGAGAGCTGACATACATCTTCTATCGACTTCATCATAATACTCATTTTCATAACATCTATTGTCGAGTTAGTTCACGTAAGGGTGAGCACACAGCTGCCTTGTAGGTGCTCTCGGTCATGTCCAGCAAGGAGGCAACCGGCAAAAGAGAACCTCCATCACCGGCGGGCACGGTCAGCAGTAGTGGTGGTGGCGGTGTCGAGTCAGCGAGGATAGAAGCTGATAAATTCGAGATGACTTCAATTCAAAAGGTTCGAGAATCATCATAAATGGACAACTCTGATGAGATTGCGCTACTGCTAGGCTGTTGAGATCGTCCGTGAGGTCCCAGCTGATGCACCAGAAGAACTATCGAGGCGGTTGCTGGCGGCCTTGGAGGAGTCTCTAGACATGTGCATTGGCGAGCTGGCCAAGGAAGGGTAGTTATATAAGAGGTAGTTGCTCTCCATGTTCCCTTGTAGATCTTCGAAAACCACGTGTCGATGGAGACCCATAGTGCCCATATCGGACACTTACCTTAGTCTGATGCCGGCCCAAGGGTTAGCTAGTGCGGTCAAGGTAAGAGAGGAGGAGGTCGTGAGGATTTGATGGAACTGATCAGGTGGTGTCATCTCGTATATTATCAGCAAGACGGTTCCTACATGGTAGAGTGGAAAGCAGAGTGAGTGCCCTGCCGGCCACAGCGACAGAGAAGGAGGTGAACTATGGGAATATCTTAGGTTCACTCGACATGGATTCAAATTAGGTCAAGATGGCAGCTACTGGGGACTCTTCCTTCACTTTGCAAGTTGTGATGGTATTAAGTAGAGCGCTGGACAGGTTGGACTCATCGAGGCCTCAAGACTGGGCCACTCGGGCTAAGGCTGCGGGGTAGTAGCAATGTTGGCGTGGGAATATATGTTCGCTTGCCTCAGCTGAGCTCGGGAGTTTTCTCACTAAGTATAGGAGTTAACATACGAATTCGAGTAGAAATGCACATAGCTCAATAGGAATATACCAAAATTTCCTCAGAATTTCCATATCGTCACCGACACATGCATTCGTTCGCTTTCCTCAGCTGAGCTCAGAAGGAGTTTTCTTACTTATTATAGAAGTTTATATACGACTTCGAATAAAAGTGTACAAAAACCAAGGAAAATTTCCCAAAATTTTCTCAGACTTTTAGCCTGCTTTGGTATTTGCAACTTCTAGGTCAATCGAGGATATACTCCCGATGGACCTCAAGGCTCTCTGCCACGTTTACAGGACGCCTTTTAACAGGCATTGGACTACCATCGATGCATCATTGGCTGCCCAGAAGGATCCAGAGTAGTACACACTCCTCAGCCGCATAGTAGCATGCCTCGTTTTCTTGTAGTGCGTCCAGCGTCAGCGAGGAGGAAATGAAAAAACTTTGGGAACTGTGGGAGCGCATATGGCCTGGCGATACGAAAAATTTATCGGAAAAAGAAAAGAAGGATTGCGTGGTTGATCTGATGAAAGTAAGCTTGTAATTTCAGGCGAAGAATTCTCATATAGTTTTCTCAGGCGAGAGCGTTCATATCGCAAATACAATATGCACTTCGTCAAATGCCAGAACGGCCACAGGAGACCTCGGGACCGTTTAAGACGCCTTCAGATGTGAAGCAACTCACCAACGACCTCCGCAACGCTGTGTATTCCGTTTTACATGTGAGGGGGATCTGCTGCACTTCCTGTTGATGCTATTTTGGTGGTCAGGTCACCAAGCTCGGGGCAGTAGGGGAGCCTAATGCTATCAAGCGTGCTGACGTCCCTGTGGAGTGAGTAGTAGTGGAGTAGGTGTTCCTGGGAGGTTTCGTGTTAGATTTTCTGTCCAAGCTGCGAGTCTTCCTGAGCTGGCCTTGGCCCTCACAGACTATACGGTGATGCGGCGGACGGCAGCACATATTCTCATCAAAGCTCATAGTGCTTGCAACCGCATTTGGGACTGCAAGAGGGTGAGCAGGAGGAGGAGGTCTCGGGTTCGACCCTCGCATGTGTCATTTTTCCACGAACAGGACACTCCAGACTTCCGAGCACAGCTGCAACACCGAAGAGAAGTGTTCCATCCAGTCGTTGATCTACGCCGTATGATTCACAACGTATTCGGGTCGAGCTTCTCTAGTCTAGCCGACTACCTCCTACGAAAGGAAACCCATTGGTTGGGCTGGAAAGGCATTGCTGTTAGCAAAGTACTACTACCACTTGGGAAAGCCGTACAGCTGGTGACTTATTCATTCAGGAAGTTTGCGGTCCATTTTTGCACTCTACGCACAGGGAAAGATTCGGCACGCCCTGGCCGCCCTCATGTCAAACTAAGGCTGATGTCGTGATCGGTGATGGTACATTACCAACGAAGAGGAAGAGCGCTGACCGATCCAGTGGTAGGGTAGCTGCGGTGACACCCTTGGTGACACGTTGTTATAGAGTCTCCTCCCCCGAAGAGAACTCGACATAGTAAGGCTGTCCCTAGGCATGTCGAGAGGATGTTGCAGATGCTACATGAAGCAGTGAGTTCCCCATGTTGGAATATATGCTCGCCTTCCTCCGCAGCTGAGCTCAGGTGTTCTCTCACTAGTTATACAAGCTTACGTATGAATTTGGGTAGAAGTATACAGGCATCAACGAGAATCACCCAAAATTTCCTCAGAATTTTCATTTGTAGTTGACCGTGTGTATATTTTTTCACGCTGGTGGCTTCATTGGAGTTTCACAGCTTGTTTTACGCGAAGTAGAGCGTAAAATTCGGTGAAAAACGCGATATTCGCGTGAACTAGTGTTTTTCATATCACTAGGGTGAAGCTCTAATGATTGCCGTCCAGAGAGTTGTCCATGCAGGCGGACGCTTCGGCTGTCTCCCCATACGCGCCCTCCCCTGAAAGCAGTCCGGCTGGCAGTGATGATGAAGTAGAGGAGGAGAATCAGTGTGAAGTAAGTATCAGCGGATGTGTGTAGTTGGTGAATTTCGGAAATTTTCAGAAGTACATGAATAAGGTGATGCAACACGACGATCCTGAAGAGGGCATTGAGGAGGACTATCGCTGCTACAACAACAAAATATTCCAGTGGCAGTTACGGAGGATGCTGGCCCGATCGGTGAGATTTTTGGCAAGTCCTCGTGGGGAAGTGATATTCTCCTTAGCACATTGAGTGCTATAACAAGAAGCCTGCGCCGGTTAGCAATGACGCTGCTAAAGATGAGCTTATCGAACTCGTGTATCGGTTGAAGGGGAAGGAGCGAGCCAAGGTGACCATTGAAACGTGTGGTTTATCAGTGGGGGATTCCTTCGCAGTGGTTGAGGTGTAGTTGATATTCCTGTGTCAGGCCGCAGTGGAGAGTGAAGCTCCCCGTGATGGAGATGGAAGTGTTGTTGTTGCTGAATCTAAGACGACTTTAGCTGATAGTGCATCGTAGCTCAGAGGTTTCGGGTAGTTTTACTATACTTGTGTTGGTAACAGTCTGGGGAAATTGGGATAAAACGAGAGCTTGTCGAATGTTCGAGCAAGGACCTTCCTTCCGACTAGAGTAGTAATTTCAGTGATCAGTGGTACTCCCGAGGGCATCACTTGCCGAGGACCCTTAACGGGCTATAAGAACCTATACAACCTCGTCGGTTGAGAGAATACAGAGTTGTAACATGAGTATTAGCATGTCGAATTCACCCGTCAAATTGAGGGCTGCTAAACACAGCACAATAGCGCCGCTACTGTAACCCAGGCTCGACTTCGATTGTGGAACTTGCACTTCCCACTAATTGGCGTCCTGTCGGCTCTCGGTGGAAATCTCCGTTCCTGGTGTTATATAGTCCATTCTATCGGCAGATCGTTTAAACGATAGGGTGTGTTGGTATTTTCAATGGCCTTTTAAGGAGCATGAGTTCGGATGATAATTGTCAACACAAGATGAGAAGGGAATTCAGAGGACGACAACAAGAACAAGTGACATGCTTAGACACTATAAGAAGGGTAATTCATTTCTCGGTCTTTTTTAATCTCACATTGGCCGTGAGGGAGGCGTGGTCCGAGGTTCGATTCCTGGCAAGGGCATTTAAATATTCTCTCAAAAGTTGCACTTACACGAACTGCTGCCGATATTCGTTTAGCAGATGCATTTTCTCCGAAGGGTCATCAGCGTCAGGATATTGAATTTTCTCGATTCCATTTCGAAGATCCAAATTTCCACGCCATAACGTAGCATCAGCAACGCTTACGTCCACCAACTGAAGAACCCACAGGGTTGATACGGCAGAGGAGACGGCAGCGTTGGAGTATATGTTTGCTTTCCTCATCTGAGTTCAGTAGTTTCCTCAATTAGCCACGAAATTCAAGTAGCAATGTTCAGAATCCAACAAAAAATTCCTAAAATTTCATATCATCACCAACACATGTGATCGACAATTTCCCACACTGCGATACAGTCTACTTCCACTTGAGTGTTTCCCGTCATCTGCTGTTGGCCCGGTGGGACCTCGAGTTGGATCGCACCGCTCACACGAGTTGCCCAGATGTAATCAAGTCGTGTGGGAAAAGACGGGATACTCTGAAGAACAACGTTGAATAGGAAAACGCATCTGTTCGTGAATGTCCACCTCATCGTTGGTAGCGCCGTACAAGGCGACGATGGAGTTACGGAGATCACTCCAGTCGCCAACAAATGACTGTGGTCTTCCATACCCAGCCTGACGGGCGAATTCAGCCCAGACGTCGCTGAAGCCTGCCTCCTGCATCTGCACCCGAGCCAGGGCATACAGTGACTCCCCCTCGGGACCCTGAGGCCAGCTAAGAGTTTCTACACCCGATGATGTGAATGATACTCACTGCCGAGTTGTGTTCCCTTTCGGTGCCGTCAATGTTGAAATCACCGGTTAGAAAAGCGGCTACTATTTCTCTCCTTCTACCCGTTTTCTCACCCTCAACGGCGGCTTTCCTGACTCGCTCATAGAGATGGAGCGCATCACGCTGACAATAATACAGCTATAGCCCTATGAGAACGAATTATCTCAGCAAAGAAGTCAGAAAAGTAAAATCGTCGAAACACAGCTAGAATCAATTCGTTTCTCACACTTCAGTGCACTATCAGAGTGCAATGAGAAAGTAAAGCGTCAGTATTGAAGTATATATACTCGTTTTCCTCATCTGAGTTTAGCAGTTTTATCACAAACTATAGGAGTTTGCATACGTGTGGAAGTGTTGAAAACCCCCGTAAAATTTCTCAAAAAAATTTCCTCACAATTTTCATGTTCCTACCAACACATGTAGTTGAACATGTGCATATTTTCTCACTCTAGAGAGCGCGTTGAAAACTCACCAGCTGATGCACTTTCACATTCGCGTCGTCACCTGCGTCCATATGAGTTGTCACGACGATTATCAACTAAGTGGAATGAAATCGAGAAAAAAGTTGGTTGGGAAAGCGCCCACATCTTTTCCTCGATCGAGAACCGCACAGAGAGCGCCCTTCGATGCAAAGGAGTCTTCAGTAGTAGAATCAACGAATCGGATAAATCTAAGCAGTAAGATGAAAAAATGGAGAAATGAATAATACGAACTCTTCGTGCAGTATCGGCCACTTTGACATTATTATCAAACCGCTGTCCAAGAATTTAGGAGCGCACTCGCAAATATGTGATCCGTGAGCTCTGGTGTGGTGCTGTAAATGAGTATCTACAAGAAGATGGTGAAAACTTCGATTGATGGGTTGATGACTTTTCTCGAGTGCTGCTAAGACTTCGCTCCGCTGAAACATGCGGAAGCAACAACAGCAGTTGATACAGCTCGCGACCACCGAGTGCGACCCCGACCAGACTTCTTGTAGGGTCACGATCTGTTGGGGGTATGATTTGGCGAAGGAGTGGTATCGGAAATACTCACGTCGATGTTGTCCGTAAAGACCGACTCTATAATGTGATCGGAGACTCTCTCTGCTCGGGAGGGCAGATCGAAGTCTAAGCAGCATGGGAAGTTGGCGCGGACCTACGATGAGGAAGAAGGATGGTATGCAAAAATGGCAGCGAGGAAAGCCCACTGGTATGAGCCATGAGTTGAAAGTCATGAGCTTGATGGTGGCGTCTGACGATGCTGCTGCTGCTGATTTGCTCGAAGTGTGGTATCCGTTAGACATTTGCGTTGGTCATTTGGTAAATAGAGGCAACCACTGAAGGTCATTAACGTGAATATGCAATACACATCGTAATAGTATTATAGATATATTGGTAATATTATAAGTGGACGAGTTCAAGCGCGCAGGTCGCGGTTTTTGAGGGTTTTCCATCTACTAGATATGTAGCTGAAAGCGTAGGTAGATTTCCGAAGGCGGTAATTGATGAAGACTGCTCTCCCGCGCACAGTGCTGCAAAGTATGTACTCGCTTTCCTCAGCTGATGAGCTCAATAGTTTTCTCACTAATCATAGGAGTTCATATACGAATCGAGAAAAAATACGAGAAGTGGACAGAAATTCTCCAAAATTTCCTCAGAGTTTAGATATAATGCGCTGCTTTTCGCGCGCGCCATTGTGATCGATTATCGCGCACTTTCCTCACGCAAATTCGGATGAGAACTTTCCTTATTACGAGGGGCTAAAATGTGTTGTTGGTAGTTGACTTTAGCAGCATGGGGGGTGTGGGTGTTCCACTCCTGAAACTATTGATGATATCGTATCGCACCACGTAGCTGCTGCAGACAGGCCCAAGCGGCAGAAGGCCACCGAGAGGACTCCTTCTACTACGGCTAGGAAGGTAGGGGAAGGGGGAAGCAGGGGAGTTTCATTCGTTTTACGTAGAGTGAAAAACGCGATATTCGCGGTGGTATGCAGTAGTCGTGAAATAGGTTTTTCACTAGTGTTTTTCATATCACTAGGGTGGTGAAACTCCAATATTGTAATATACGTTCAACAGATACTAGGAGTTTTTTCACTAATAATGTGCGAACTAGGGTGAAAAGGAAGAAGAATTTCCTCAGAATTTTCATATTTTCACCAACATATGTGGTTGACCCTGTGCATATTGCAATCGGTGGGAAGTGTTGAAGTTGTGGTAGGATGATAAGAAGCGGTATCGCAACGAACTAGCGGTAACAGCAGAATATCAGGACACGGCGAACGCAACAGGTGAGGAAAAAAAGGGAGAAAAATTTCGTGGTAAAATTTTATTTTTGTTCAGCACTCACCAACAGGGCGAAGTTGGAGCTGATGCAGCTTACGTCGAGTCATGTTTCTGATGGGCGAGATGACACTGAGAGTAGCAGCTCAAGTTCTGAAGCTGTTTTCATAGACCTTACAGTAGTACTCGTACTACCTTATTAACGTGGAAGGGCTCATCTCAGGTGCCGGTGAGGTCTGCAAAGGCGGAGCTTATGGCAATCCCAGGGACGAGTTCGGAATTTTCTTACGATGCGTATAGTTTGCAATCTAAGGAGGAGGAAGTGTTACGGGAGATAGTACGGCCAGATGAGAAGGGGTAGGTTGGAGGGGCAGTGATGAAGTTTGGTAATGCTGGGTTTAGGTCGCCACTTGATGCAGCAGCAGATGAGGATAAGGAGAGGTAGGTCCTTGTCGGGGTGGCGAGGGTGATGAGGAGTGGAGCGTTGGTTAGGAAGGGAGGACGGGTGCAGCAAGAGGAAGAGGAGGAGGAGGCAGTGGATGTGGAGGATGTAGTGGTTGAGGAGGGGTAGTAATGGGGAGGGGGGTACTACACAGTGGTTAATAATAGGTTTATGCTACTACTCTTATTACACTGTTGTTAATAATAATAGGTTTATGCTACTACTCTTATTACACTGTTGTTAATAATAATAGGTTTATGCTACTACTCTTATTACACTGTTGTTAATAATAATAGGTTTATGCTACTACTCTTATTACACTGTTGTTAATAATAATAGGTTTATGCTACTACTCTTATTACACTGTTGTTAATAATAATAGGTTTATGCTACTACTCTTATTACACTGTTGTTAATGATAATAGGTTTATGCTACTACTCTTATTACACTGTTGTTAATAATAATAGGTTTATGCTACTACTCTTATTACACTGTTGTTAATAATAATAGGTTTATGCTACTACTCTTATTACACTGTTGTTAATAATAATAGGTTTATGCTACTACTCTTATTACACTGTTGTTAATAATAATAGGTTTATGCTACTACTCTTATTACACTGTTGTTAATAATAATAGGTTTATGCTACTACTCTTATTACACTGTTGTTAATGATAATAGGTTTATGCTACTACTCTTATTACACTGTTGTTAATAATAATAGGTTTATGCTACTACTCTTATTACACTGTTGTTAATAATAATAGGTTTATGCTACTACTCTTATTACACTGTTGTTAATGATAATAGGTTTATGCTACTACTCTTATTACACTGTTGTTAATAATAATAGGTTTTCCTTTCAGTACGCCTCCTCCCCCTCCTGCCTCCCCTCCGGTTCATCAACTACCAAAGACACAGCCCACCCATCTAGTCAGCCAGGAGCTGCTGCTGGTGGCGCCGTCATCGTCGTCGTCTTGAACTAGATGCCTCACCCTTGTATAGGTTGTTTCCTCTTAACGACTATCAATTTTGTAGTATTTGCCCTCCTCCCCGGATTCATTGTTGGGTTTGTCAATGAGGTTGTAGGGCCCCTGGGGTATACCATCTTTTTGATAACTCAGGAGGCGAGCATTGACTGGGTGGTCCAGATTTGTCACTAAATCTGTATAGTAGTAGTTGGTGTTGTTGTAAGATGATTGGGGTCTCGCAGAAGAGGACGGACACCTCCTATGGGAACTCGTTGGTCGCTCGGAGGGAGTTTACTCGGCAGCAGCAGAAGCATAGGGAAACGATAAGGAAGATTCGCTCTAGCATAGGTCAGTCCGGACCTATTTTGTATCTTACCAGCAGCAACCTAAGATACTCGGCCTCCTGCTGATCAAAGACACCTCACGCTGTATGGTCGGGACTATTATGCTAGGAAGCGTAGGAAGGGGCGAGGGAGGGGGAGGGAGGCGTATTAGAGGTGGCTGTAGGTCAAATTAGGGAGTATGCTAACAACGATTTGAAGATGATAAGGAGTATTGCGCGAACTATGCGGCGAACACCAGAGTTGTTGGTGGGTGTGATTTGAAAATGGAGTGGTACGATAATCATCTCTACAGGGGTCCTCGCGGGGGTCGGGGCCTGTGAGCTTGAATAGGGATAGTAGGAAGAGGGAGCTGTCGAGAATTACAGCGGTAGGGATGAGTAGGCCCTCTGGGGGGAAGGCTGGTATCGTTTTAGGATAACCATGCTATGTTGGACCGCTTGGAGAGGCTGAAACCCTCTTACAGTGTGGCTCATTTGGAGCAAGACTACTTTAGGCAGATGCGGTAGTACGGTGGTGAAAGTGGCGTTTAGATTTGTGGAGAAGGTGTGGTATCAGCTGAATGAAATTAAGGATTTATTATTTGGTGGTTGTATATTTTTGGTGATGATATGAAGTTCACATAGAGAGAATCGACCGTTTTTACTCGGGAAAAAACGTCCGGAAATGCACTAGTGGGAGGTGGTGGAAATGTATATGGCAGGTATATGGTCCAGTCTTGCTCCCATGCGTATAACAGAGGAGGTCGACAGCATCCGCTAATTGCTAGATTGCGAGCTCGAGAAGAAGCAGCTAAGTGAGGCATGGCTCTTGACGCTTACCCGGGTGGTTCGAGTAGGACGTTTATAGGCAGCTTTCGCCGCTATTCGATGTTGTAATTGAAATAGATCTCCTCTACTAAGGAGTGGGGCTCGCGTGTTGGCTTAGCATTGATATGAACTGGAAACGTTGGTAGGCAGAAATGAGGAGAAATATGACGATTCGTATCGACTTGAAAGCTCTGGTAGCTAGCATGCTGAAGGAATCATTCATCAACAGTTATATACGTCTTGATTGAGCGTTGTGCAGGGCGTCAGAGCTAGCCCGACGTCATCGTTTTGAGGAGGAGGCGGAGAGGTATCTCAATGGGAGTAAGTCGACACCGAACTTGAGGAAGGGGAGTCTCGAGGTGGGTCTTTGGGAGGATGGGGTGTTTTCAAGGGAGCTACAGTGAGAAGTACAGGACGTGTAGGGGGCCGTAGCGAATCGGAATGTATTGGGAAGGATGAAGATGTGATGAAATGTTGTTGGTCATGCGAAACTCAGCCGGGTGTGAAATGATCTGGGAGGTCAAAGCGTTCCCCTGTGATGGGGAGAGTGCTGCTCTGTGCCGTGTTTTAGGTACCGCCGTCGGCAGCGTCATCGTATGTCTCCTACTCTGAGCCAATACCATGCACTATCGAGGACGTAGCAAGAGTAGTGGTCGAAGATGTATTGCATGCTGTTCTGCCGACTGAAGGGATGGTTGAAAGCAGGTGGAGGTATGCGCTGTCATCATCGCTATTGGGGAGCTGTGGCTTTGCCTCAGGTATTCCGGACAGGAGGAGGACTCAGAAGAACAGCAGTGGGAATTCCCTTATCGGGTAGGTTCGTGGCAATAGCGTCTAGGGTGGTCCTTCTTAATCTATCAAGCTTGTGAATGCGTTCTTATGAACTATTGATCGTTTCACACTTGATAAGATGCTAGTAGTAGTTCTTTGAGGAAAAGCGGGTATGGCAGTGATAGTAGGAGGGGGAAGGGGACTATTGAGATTCGCCCAAAAGTACAAATCAAGGCCTTTGAGTACTTTCTAATCTAACACATAGCAGTTATCGGAGATATAGCGGGGGGTCTGTCTAAGTCCATGTGTCAGGCTACATCCTCGATAGCCGCTTCCTCGGTGGACGACAGCAGCGCCATAACGGATGAGCCGCATGTGGAAGAGCATACAGCCAGCAGGACGGTTGAAGACCTCATCGATGCCGCTGCGGATCTTTTCACGGATATGGATGGTACGTCTATCGATCTCTTCCCTGTGTTGTAATCTTCATTCGACAGATGATGATTATTCTGTGGACTTTGAGGTGGAGGAAGAAGAAGAAGAGTCTGTGGGGTAGCCGATTGTGACATCTGCCATGTCAAGTTGAACCTTTGTTGTTCATGATTATCCATGCTTTGTGTGCTGAGTACTGTTAATGGTAGTTCGTTATCACTAGAACCCGACAGTAGTGATAATTGTATTTCCACCCTTTGCGTCAGAGGCCGAGCCTTCTGCATGCTGACAGTTCAATGAGGAGCTACTTGAGGGCTATGGAGCGTGGCTGAGCTGAGTTGGCTCCTCGCCTTCAGTGCACGCTTGGCTCACTTGTGATTCCCCAAAGTTTTGGATTGTTTTAGAGCGACCACCCTTTCACGGTTCAAGAGCATCGACCCAAATGGACAGGAGAGACATATAATATAATAGTCAAGCATGTCTAAGTAGAGCCCGAAACCGCGTGACGTTCACGGTACCTACGCCACCGTCTGCTTGATTCGAAAAGAGGTCAAAACACCCTTACTCAGAGACATTTGAATCTCTACCGAGAGACCTCGTCCTGTCACTCACTACATTCTCCCTAGATCGAGTAAAGGACGGTTCATTTCCAATAATCCCCCTCATCATCATCATCATCGTCCCGTGGTAGTTGTCTCGCCCCTTGGGGATATTTGGGGACCATCTGCCCCCCCACCTTCCAGCTGGGAGGGAGGGGCTTTAATGTTCATCTTATCATGTACATGGTCTTGAAAAGGTATATTTCGTAGGTCTTGGGAGGGGCGGCTATGCCACAGGTAGGCTAAGATATGCCTCCGTACATATGAGCAGATGAGTAAAGGTCTGTCGTAACGGTATGATACTGTTATTGTTCGGCCTCGCTGTCTATTTATTTTGAAGGCATATTTCTTAGCTCTTAGTGAGATCAATTCTGTGGGGAAGGGGCGGCTATGCCACAGGTACGCCAAGATATGCCTCAGCGAAGTCAAATTCGTAGGAGCACGCCTAGTTGTGGCGAATTGCGGGATATTTTTCGAGACTCTATTTCGGGTTTTCGTCAGGACTCTTGAAGAGCTTATCTACCGAAGCCTTAAGAATCGCCAATATTAACAGCACGCTCATCCGTCATCATCCACTTGATGTTAGTCGAGACTTTCCATAGAAGTGATTCATTAGTCGTCATCAAACCCTCCAGGACGGCCTGTTGCCTCCGTTTCAATGTATTTCTCTGCAACTGTAGCCTTCCTATGCTTATGCCGATGATCCACACAGTATCCCGTCGGTTGGAAACTGCCTTATTATTTAAGCTTCCCTTTGAGACCACTCCGGTTGTGTTCAGCTAAGTGGTGTGATTGCATGAGGAAGGTAACGATGATGAAACAACCATCTTTCAATACTCCCCATAGGCCTATATGTTAACAAAAGTTATTATGCTCCGGATGGTTTCAGTGCGAGGTGTTGTAGCCCCAGGTTCGATCCCCAGGGATGTCATTTTTCTTCTCATTATTCAAGGAGATCGCTATCACAGTGTCTACCGAGATCATGTCAGATCATAAGCTTCGATAGGTTTCTCTCTTTGCAACCTTTCCCAATGTCCGATTTTGACGTAGCCTCGTACAATGGTGGTGACGATGACTTGTATGATGACTTCGACGCTGTCGAAGGTACCGAGACCGCTGGTGCCGAGTCTGGCGAGGAGAGGGAGCTCGCACTGGACCAAGGGGCGCGTGGTCGAACCTATTGGGGCTTCACATTGACTGATGACGCCTCGGCCGCTGAGGCTCTGAGGAATTGGGTCTCGTACCTTCCTGCTACTCAGATTGATCTGGTATCTGATATCGGTGACAGTAGAGGCATCTATGTGGTGCATATGGAGAGCCTCCTCATCAACGTATTACAAACTGAAATGCCCAATTTCGATAAGCAGCCGATCTTTGCTAAGGCCTTATTCTCTATAGAGCGATGCCTTTCCATCTTAGAGGAGCTTCGAGGGACTGCTGGTATGCGATTGGTGTTCTTTGATTGCTTCGAGGTGTTGTATCGGACCAAGGCGAGTGTCTACTGGACACTACGAGAGGCTCTTCGTCTGCACCTTCTCGCGACTAAGCCCGCTTTGGTCAGGGTCTTCAAGGACTGGGTCAACGACTCTGCTTGGACCGCCTTTGTGGAGGAGCAGGGCGTGGCGTTTATGGTTTGCGGCGATAATGATGTGCCCTTCGTTGCCCCAGAGGATGATGAAGGGCAACCTATGATGCCCAGCGATATGGTAGAGCTAGCCCCAGGGCTCCTACAGTGCCTAGCTCTTGATATGGTTACGAAGCATCAAATTCGTGTGGCGATAGTGAGCACGATGGAGAGGCGCGTGCATAGGCTTATGTCGGTGACCATCGGCCCAGAGCGAGGCCACCCTGAAGTCCTTGCTAGGGTCACCCCCGTAGTAGAAAGTCTATTCAGCACTCTGAAGGATGATGATGATGATGAAGACGAGGACGAGGAGGATCCTCAAGCGTTCGTAGAACAGATAGAAGGGGCGGTTGAGGACTATACTAAGCAGTTCGGTCCTGATGGGGGAGTTCGGGGCTTCATCACTCGAATCGGTCTGGAGCAAACCCTGCAGGAGTGCATATCTCTAGTGGAGGAAGAGGAGGATGAGGAGATTGCGAATGGTCCGATTGAACTGTGTTTGGTTTTTGCCAAGGTCGTGGCGGCTTGTGAAGTGTTGCTGGAGGAGATGCCTCTTCATGCTCGGTCGCATTGTACATTTTCGGACGAGGCATTCACGTTGGTCTCCTCTGGGGACATCTCTAGTGCGCTGGACGATTTCTTCGTGAACTGCCGACTTGTCCTCACGCCTATGGCGGACTACATGAGGACTAACCCCGAGTATATGGCAGGAGTTGGTCTGAAGAATGATATTTCCGATATGTTCGATTCGAGGCTCTTCCGAACGGTCCTGTACTTGGTCCTTGCTGCTCCCGAGAAGGACGGTGTCACATTTGACCTCGGGAGGATCTTTGGTTTCCAGGGAAGGTCCTTAACCACCTATGAGAGGTATTGGAAGTCTATAGTCGGCGATATTGAGTTCCCCGACTCACTGGCTGCGCACGCGGAAGATTCCTCAAAGGCGGTGCTTTCGATCAAAATGGAAGTGCCATGTGCAGGTGAGGGCTTGAGGGCTTTTATAAGGGGGCAAAGCTCTTCTGTCGTAGATGAGCTCCCGAAGGAGCCGGCTGAGGCCCCAAGTCCCGTGCTAGTCCAAACGACAGTGCCGTTGGTTGATATGATAGTGAAAACGGCGAAGGACCCTAAGGGTGAGTTTGGGGTGGGTGTTGGTTGTATTTATTTTGTTGGTTTTAGTGGGCCAAGCTTTGACTAAGCTGGAGAGAGATGAAGTGGAGGTTCTGGGGGAGGAGTTGGAGGATGTAATAGTAAACGTACAAGGGCTCAGGGGGGATTGTGAGTTGACTTTTAGTATCCGCAATCGCAGCCGTTCGACTCGGTAGATGCCCTGTTGAAGAAACACGAGAAGGGAAAGTAAGAGGGTTGTTGAGGAGGATGGGTCGGCATAGTGGGGAGGGCTTCAGGTATACGATGGATAGCAAGTGGTTGGAAAAGCTCCCTCCTCATAAGAGAGAGGCTGCGAGGAAGAAGTTTGAGTTGAGGATGAAACAGAGGGGGATGTATTCAACTCATATGTATTCGAAGTCGCTGGTTGGTAGGCTGCTTGGTGGGCCCTAGAGGGTGTTGAGGGCTTTGCTAGGTGCGGACAAGTTGCATCACCCCATTGTTATGACGGAGGAGGAGCAGAAGGCTATGAAGGCAGCGAGTGATAAGAGTACGCAGAAGTTCAGTGCGAAGGCTCAGCTGATCAAAGAGAAGAATGAAAAGCAGGCGGTAGGGAAGTTGGGGGGAAGAGTCATGGAGAAATATATGTCTGCTCTTCTCGAAGTTTTGTGAAAATCCACAGAAAACTCTGAGAAATTTACGAAAATTTCTCAGAATTTTCATATTGTCACCAACACATGTAGTTGACAAAGTGTATACGTTCCTCGGAAGGGGGGGGGGGGGGTGATGGTGGGAAGATGGTGGTTGTCAGTTGGAGAAGCAGAACGCGAGAGATAAGGAGCAGATGGAGCCGCTGTTGGTGAAGGCTGAGAGGCTTGGGGACATGGGTGACAGGCCTCCGCGCGAAATTGAGAATTTCCTGCTGGACCTTGTTGCGGGGTAGGGGGGGGGGTATCTTTAGGCTCTTGCTGATTGGATTCATATTAGGTTCGGAAGGATCCTCGATAGCTTTGACGGCTTTAATGGTATTTCACAGTCGGTGAAGCTCCGCGAGAATCAGATGGTGGTGTTGTTCGCGGTAATCGACAATTTGAGAACAGCGTTGAAGACGGTCGGGAGGGCTCTGGAGATTGATTCCTCTGAGGCGTAAGGCACCGTTCTGGCCGCCTTTGGTCTTTGGTATTTCCTTATAGGTATTTGTTGGAAACACGACGACTCGTTGCACGGTGCATCAAACTTGTTTGTGATGTTGTAAAGGCATTTGGTAATATCTTGGCGAGTTGGGGAGGCCCTTGGGGAGCTTGGGGAGTTTAGGTGGCGATATGGGCCCTCATCACATCAAGAAAGTGCAGCAACTGCTCCAGACGGTGGGGGCCAAGAGGGTTAATAAGAACGTGTTTATGTTCTGGAAACAGCATAGGGTGGGTTGGGGTAGGTCTTGTGTGTTGGAGGAGAGGAATTGTGCAGATACCCGTGTTGGAAGAGAAGATAGCGGAGCTTGAAGTGGAAGCGGAGGCGGCGGCTAAGCATGAGAAGAAGAGTAAGAAGAAGGCGAAGGAGAGCGGTGATGCTAAGAAGGGCAAAAAGGTGGGCTGGTGGTGACGGGGAAAAATGGAAAAATTTTGTTTTCCTCGAGAAATTTACGATCGAGTTCGGGTAGGAGTGTGTAGAAACTGGGGGGAATTTTCTATTAGGAATATCGTAGTCACTAACATGCGTATTTATTTTCATATTGATGGTCAGGGTAAGAAGGGTGTACCGGAGACCCCAGAGGAGAAGTTGGGGGCGGCGAAGGAGGAGTTGGAGGATATTGATGAGAACTATAGTGAAGTCCGCAGTAAAAAGGTGGCAGTTGATGTTATTGGAAAGGATGAGTATTTGTTTATGCTGTATCATATGGGCCAGGTGAGGGCAAGAGTTGGGCCTGTTTTGAATCTTACGTGGTTGAACCTAGGATATGGATCGTCCGGTTGGTAAGAAGGCGGATGATCGTGTGTTGTTCAAGCCCGATGAGTGGCAGAGGCAACTACTAGATGTGGTTGATAAGAAGGAGTCGGCTTTGGTGAGTTGTTCATGCGGCCGTACAGGACGACGCTTGTCGTCTTATCGTAGGTGTGCGCCCCTACCAGTAGTGGTAAGACGTTTATCTGCTATTATGCAATGGAGAAGGTTTTGAGGCAAAGTCACGACGGTGTTGCTGTTTATGTGGCTCCGACAAAGGCTCTGTTAAATCAGGTTAGCCTAGGGGGGTGAGGATGATGAGGATGTTGAGGAAGTGCTCAGGTCTCAGCTGAGATATATTCGCGATTCTCCTCCAAGACTTACCCTAGTACGGTTAGGATTGAGCTTGCTGGAACCTTCGCGAAGGAGTTCTCGGAGTACCCGATGAGTTGCCAGGTGCCGTTGCTGGGAATCGAACCGGCGACCTCCATGGTGTCTTGCAGGTCCTCGTGACTATCCCGGAGGTGTTTGAGCAAATCATGTTGGCGCCGTCTCAAGCGGAGTGGGTGAAGAGGCTGAGATATGTCATCTTCGATGAGGTAGGTCATCTTCGGACCTAATCTGTATCTTATTCGGTGCGACCTAAGATACCCGATAAATATCTTTCAGGTCCATTGCATTGGTGAGGCGGAGAATTCAGCGGCTTGGGAGCATCTAATGCAACTAACACATAGCCCGTAAGGAGTCTCTACTATCACTAATACTACCACTATTGGTGACAGTTTCCTGGCCCTGTCTGCTACAGTCGGCAACCCCAAGGGCTTCTGCAACTGGCTCAACAGTGTAGCAGCTTCGAATCACGGCCAGAGGGTTCATTTGGTGGAGTATAAGGAACGTTTCAATGACTTAAAGAAGGTGAGAGGCCTTTTTCGACGTTGATGTGGAGGAAGTGCGGTATGGTTGTCTTGGTCGTCAGTGGGTGTACATATCGGGCTCGGGGCTGTTCGAACTGCACCCGATAGCGTGCTTGACGTACCTTGATGTGAATGACGGTTCCCTACCATCTGATTTGGTGATGACCCCTGAGGAGGCAGCTGAGTGCTATGTCGCTCTCAAGGCTGTCATGCTGGATCAAAAGAAGGACACTAGGAGATCGGATAAGGATAGGGTGAGTATGAGAGGTGTTTATGTGGGGGGAGAGGTTTTTTTAGGAGCTCATACGTTCCCTGTTGGAGCCCTTGGAACCTAAAATTTTCTTCAAGTTTGTGCGTGGGTGTATCAGCAAGAGACAATTCAGGTGAGAATTATGGTGATGGTGAAATTGGGAAGATGTTGAAATCAGATGGTATGAGAAGCAGTTGAGAGCAGCACTGTCGACGATGTTGAGGGAAGGTGTATGTGATTATGAAGACTTCAGCGATGTCGTGGGTATTCTGCGTAACCCTAGTGCTCGGGGGAATCCAGTCGAGGAAAATAAGAAGTGGAGAAAGGTTGCTGGTAATAGTGATTGTTACGGTTGTTATGATCGTGGGAGGCGTAGTCGTGGGATGATCTAGAGTGTGGAAAGGCAGTTGACTGTCTGAGATGATGACCATGCCCGTAGTGTGTATGGGAGGCTCTAGTGTATCGTACTTGCTAGAACCTGAGATATCCCTTCCTCGCAGCTGAGTTTCCTCACTAATCATAGGAGTCTATGTACGTGTAGGAGTGTTCAGAAACCAGCAAGAAATTCTTATCAATAACGCATGTGGTTGACCGTATGCATATTTTCACATATGTATTATCTCTCCTGCCACATGGGGTGTTTTAGGTGAGGAGGATATTTTGTCGACTGATGCCTCCTCTTGTGGTGATGAGGAGACAGGGGTTGATAATGATGGAGTTGATCATTTGGCGCCGCAGTAATACCGTCGGGGGGATTTGAACCGGGGTCGTTGAGGTGGGAGTCTTGTGTCTTATCCAGTTTATCTGAACTTGGTCGAGAAGCGACCTATCTTCGTCCGGCACGTACTATCCAGCTCATACGGGATCTGCAGGAGCTACACCTCCTACCTACGCTTATCTTCAACTTTGACCGACACGACATTATGGTGGGTGGAAATTTGATTTTCGAGCGGCCGTGTTTATTAATTTTCCTCTAGGCGATGGTGAAGAGATGCACTCAGTACCTCGCTAAGCAACAGTATGCCAAGTATCACGGTAGCGAGGAGAGGGACCATCGAACTAAGATGGAGAACAAACGCCGAATGGAGGTCTACAAGAAGAAGGTCGAACAGGTGAAAGTGATGGAAAGGATGGTGAGCATGGGGGGGAGGCCTTGGATGATGTGCCCGAGGGGTGGTATGGAGAGAATTTATTCTTTTGTTTTGTGCAGAAAGCGAACGATGAGGATTTCGATCAAACGGTGTTGGACGAGTTGGTGCCGAAGCCTATCCCCGTTGAGGAAGAGTAAGATAGCAAGATTTGGCAAGATGTTGGTTTGTAACATCATTGTAGGTATGATCCTGAGTTTTACTTCTGCGGTGTGAAGGCTATGAGCGATCCTGATGTTGAGGAACTTATAAAAAAATTGGAGAGAAAGTAGGAGAGCAAAAATGCAGGGACGACCTCATTCTCCTTGTAGGTCCTCTTTCCCGAAGGTGTACATCGATGCGTTGAGGAGAGGTATTGGTATGCATCATGAGGGGTTGCCGGCTAGCTTTAGGAAAACTGTAAGGGGAGTGAGGCAGGACGTTGGGAGGATGAGGGTGTTGTTGTCAGGTTGAGATCCTCTTCCGTAAGGGCTTCTTGCAAGTGGTTGTTGCTACTGGTAGATCATCGTTGAGGTGTGTTCGGGGCTGTGAGGGGCTGTAATGTTAGGTACGCTAGCGTTGGGGATTAACATGCCCTGCAAGGCGACAGTCTTCGCGGGCTCATCGGTGGAGTTGAATGCTCTTATGTACAGACAGATGGCCGGTCGAGCTGGAAGAAGAGGATTTGATTTGGTAAGGCATGCTCGCATGCTGTTGGGACACATGACGTTGTGTCAGTTGGGAAACGTCATTTTCTTCGACCTACCATTCAGCGATATAAGGCAACTCCAAGGGAGCCACGTGCCGTTTTTGAGGGGAGACTTCTCTTTAACGCCGACTCTGGTAAGGAGGGGGTTGTTGACGAAAGTGGAAGGCATATCCTCGACTGTGTGTGCGCAGCTATACAAAAATATGGCTCAAGCATGCTTTTTTTCTATGGAGGGTAAACCTTTTTAACGGAAAAATGGCGGTTCCTGGAATTGAACCCGGGGTCTCTGTGAATCAGTTGAGTCTGCGGCGAAATAGGTTAGCATAGGATTAGTCGCTTGTCGCCCATTGAGTTGCTTCGTCTAGCCGTGGCTGGGAAAGTAGGTGAGGAGAGGTTTGCATTATTATGCAAAGACATTATTCGACGATTTGCTTTCCACTGCTGAAGCTTCGCTATTACTGATGTTTTACTGTCTGGCCTTATGACTTAGAAATGCCAGCCTTTATCAGCTGTAGCGTTGCTGTCGTTGATTAGTGCTCATTGCTTTAGGATTGTATCACAGTTGAAGGCTTGTAGATCGGGTGCTCTCGCATCGAGGAGAGGGGCGATCGGTGGTGTTAGGTCCTCCGAGCAATCCAGTTGAGGCAGCGTTTGAAGGCAGAGGGTCGGCTCACAGTAGAGGCTGATAGGGCTATTATGACGATGATGACGAGGGCCTTGTACAGTAGCGAGATGAATCTGGCTAATGAGGTTTGTTATGTTAAAGTTGGCATGCATGGGAGAAATGTGTCCTCAGACGGTCGTGCTCTTCCGTTACACTGTGGACTTCCTCTTGAGGGAGCATCTTATTCGGCCTAATGGTGACCTCATCGGCTTGGCCCCGGTGGTGACGGCACTGTTCGAGAGGGAGCCTGATAATCTGGTGAGGAACTGCAAGGATGGGGTTGGTGTTGTTGTTGGAGGGTCGGGGCTTAGGTGCTGCATAGGCTGTTGACGATGCCGGGCTTGGAGGAGATATTAAAGCGATGGAAAAAGGAGGAAAGGAAGGCTGATGAGACTACTCATGCTACGTAAATGCTCGAAGCGGTTGGTCCTGTGTGAAGGGCGATGGTGTAGGTATAAGCTACTACAAGTACTCTCTTGCTTTGTATTGCCATGGCCACAGCTACGACACGCTAAGGATCGGGTGAGAAGGAGGGGCGTGAGAAGTGGTGGTGATGGTAGTGGTAGGTTATTGAGAAAAGGAGGAGGCATCAGCCGACAGCAAGTTGCCCGGTGCTCTATATGAAAGATCTCGAGCCTGAGTTCCGAGAGCTAGTTCCAAAGTATAACGCTGCTGTTAAGGATGAGCTACTTCGAATGGTAGGGGGGAAGGGGTTGTGGTCAGCGAAGGAGGAGGAGTGTTTATCCATAGGCTGTGCTGAACTTCAAGATGAAGGGGAAGGTTGCCAACGATGAGCGCTCGTTTGAGTTGCCATTTACTCGTACTGAGTTCCGTCGGTCTTTTGGTGAAGACATCTGGGCTGATGATTCCGCTGTGATGGGAGCTCTTATTAAGTCTAGGGTGAAGTGTACGGTACGTAGCCCCTTCAGGTGAGGTTGTTTATCGGTGGTTTATAGTGACATATGTGGTTATCTTTAGTGCTCTCGATGGATCTGGTGATGCATTCGAGACAGTTCAAGAGTTGATTCGTAACTGCCGACCGGGTTTCTCGATGGACCTGGGCAAGGTGCCTTACGCCCCCTTTGGTGATGGCTACCTGTCGAGTTACATCACTGACTTCTTTGTCCATGGACGGTTGGAATTCCTGCAAAAGGACAATCTGCTGGGGGCATCCGAGAGCTGGAGGGTTGTGCATGATTGGGTGGAGACCCTCGAGGTGAGTTGTTGGCCTATGGAATGTCATTGTCGGGCTTTCCATGTGTTCGTCGGGGAGTGGTATGGGGTTTTCAGCATACAGGATTGGGGGTAGTTTCCATGACTGTGTCGGTATGTTCGTGAATTTTTAGTAATCCTAGTTCTTATGAATGAGCGTCGTGTGGGATTCCAAATGAAATTGTCATGGTTAGAGTGGTAGAGTTGGATTAGGGAGTTTATCTTATCCTCCCCTCAGTGGCTGGATACGGTGTTGGAATCGATGACACGATTCGAAGCCCCGACGTTAAAGGCGGTAGTGAAAGAGTTGCACAGCACACTTGACAGGAAACTGTACGACGAGAGCACTAAGTAGGAGGACTGATGATAATCATTGTTGTTGACGACAACAACAACGCTTTACAAGTTTCGTAGTGGTACAGTTGTTGTGTTATGGAGTTGGTGAAGGAGTGGTATGAACGACAACTACACAAGTGGTATTGTTGCAAATTGTATGCGTCAGGCGTATACTCGAATCGACAACACCTTTCCTCTATGAGATGGGCATTCATGTGACTCCTTTCCGGTTTTCCGTGAGGTTTTCTCAACTTAATAACGCAACAGCGAATATGACTCACGTGAATGGAATAATATCACTTATGGCATGAACTTCATAAATAGGCTTTGAATATCTGACTGGGATGGAAAATCGATGGTACCTAATTGGACTCAAATTCGCAGTAGTGAATCAGACCAACCTACTGTAGGGCAACTTGTGGTATCATCGTCCACTGGAATCTTCCTTTTAAACTTCTTCTGTGAATCCGGAATGGAGGCTTCTGAGCTGCTCACTATTGGAAAGCGTGACGCTAATCCTGACAGAGCTTCCATCAGCTCACGAGGTCACACACAATGAGTAATAAACATACATCCACCATACGATGTGGATAAACAGAAATGTGTCATTTAAAAACTACTAACTTCGTTATCTAACAAGCTTGAGGGAATGCCACAAGCCTCACACTGTCACTCCCGCTCGAGAAAAATCTGATCTGTGATTAGCCGACGATTCGCGACAGACGAGCACTTTCTCAAGAGCAGTTGAAGACTCTAGACACTCGAAGTTCAATTCTTCGACGTGGAATTTTCGCTTCATGTGTAAGATGTTTTCCTAATAGCCCTCAGAGGATTTGAAGTAGACTTGAAAATTGATCCCACCTGTATTTCCATAATTATTCCCCCCGGAAAAATATTTGTATCGTGGCCAGGCGTATCCAGAAAACTGCGCTTGAGTCCCGGTAGCAACGGCGCGTTGTCTTCCGGAATCATATGCTTCTACAGCCTAACGTTTAAGAGCGTGTTAAAACAACCCACAAATGACCGAGCAAGGCGTATTCGCGAAAAACGGATCTACTTCATGAATTACTATTGATAAATAACTCCTAGTTCTTTGCGGTCACCCCTATCGGAATCACTGCTATAACGTTGGAAAATACGCACTTGGTTGACCACATGTGTTGCTGTTATTATGAAAATTCCGGGAAATTTTTAGAAGATTCTTTTTGGTTCTTGTACACTCCTACCCGAATTGTATGTAAACTTGCATGAGGAAACTCCTGAGCTCAGCTGAGGAAAGCGATCATATTTCCCAGAGCTGTGCATCACTATTAAAATCAGTGCGGTTTACAGGATTCCGATGTCTCGTTAGGGGCGGACAAAACCATTACTAATTCATTCATAACATTGCATACACCCTTCCACGAGAATCTCACTATTTATCATGATGAAAATATCGTCACGATATTGCATATGGACGATGTTTTCCGAGAGAGTGCAATACCGGTTGCCTCCAGGCAGTCTTGGGACGCACGTTTGCTTTCCTCAGCTGATTATAAGAGTTTCCACAGCAATTCGAAATAGGAGTGTGCAAAAACCAACAAGAATTTCGCAAAATTTCCTCAGAATTTCACATCGTCATCATGTGCATTTTTGAAAAGTTGCCTTACCCTTCTTAGAATGTTGTCATAGCTGAGCTCTCGAGCCATCTTCTGCACAAATCCGGCCTTTTGAGCGTGGAGTTCTTTAGATGTGGGAAGTATCGGATCAGGCTTGTTCCGCAGCTAACATCGTTGAGAGTAGAGGCTACTAGAGTTGTTGCCCACATTGAATAAGTTGTTCATTCGGTAGCCATTGAAATGCTCGCATTTATGCTCGGTCACGTTGTACGGGCGTGAGAAGAAACGGTATGTCTCTTCGAAATCACTGGGGAAGTATAGTAGACGTTTTATCGTCCGTTTGTGGTGAACTTACTCTTTTTCTCTTCGGGCATTTGCTTCTTCCTCTGTGAAGCCGTCGTATTTCGATGGGCGAATGAACTTGAGTCGTTTCTGAATAGCAATACCAGGTTCCCCATGCTTACTGTTATCGGGGCTTACTAGTTTAGTTTGATCAACGTGTTTCGGTACGACAACAGAACGAGCGGGGACCATTGCTGTGTAACTCGCGTATCTGATTCACTACAGTCCTCACTAGAACCCGTCTTGTCACGTATCGAGTGAGTGAGACAATACACCAATAATGTTATGATCATAACGCTGCATTTTTCTCTCATCGGACTCGTCGGAGGAATAACTGTCTATGGTTTCACATGATGTGATCTTGAACGATGTCTTTATACGCGAATATCCATCGTTTCACGCGGAGATGGTATTGCGAGGTCGCTAAGGTTTGAATCAATGGATGAGACCAATTTAAACAACCGAAAAAAACGTCAACAATGCATCACTTGACAACATCAAGATCTTCCGCGTGTCCAAGCTGGGCTCGTTGTAGGGGTTCGATGCACATCCCAGAGATCTGATATGGTTACTCAGAATTAGGTTGCAACCAACTAGCTTGTTCGCTCACTGGAGTTCTCAGTTTCTCGAGATGTGTTCGCTCTTTCTCTACAATGGCCTTCCACAACGTTTGAGCCTCGTTGGCGTTGAATTTCCTGAAGGTTTATAGCCATTTGTTTCACAGGACAGCATAGAGTGATCTCACTTGCTAATCCCAGGGAGGGAGCTTCTGCTACTGGCCTCCCCTGGACATCTCGTTGTATCATCTTGTTTCGTCATAATGATACTAGCAATTAGGCTCGAACTTGAACGATGGTGAAAGTATTGCAAGTGATGGTTAAGTTCGTTCACTCATTACTACGTTATACTATCAGTGATTTTAATGGTCTCACTGGTTAGGGAGTACCAAATGTACGCGACGGTAATTGCGCAGAGCTACTTTCGATTCGTTGAGATCTCGCTCGCCCAGGTGATCGATTTTGTTTTGTGGGGGTCCGTGGGTCGATCCCCGCGCGTGGCGTTTTTTGTGTATTTTTGTCGACAACCTCGATTGTTCGATTACTACTATGGCTAGTACTTGTTGTTGCAGCTCTGTCATCTCCCCCGCCCGCTAACATGCCATCTTCCTCTGTATCGCGCTCACGATCTGGTTCGGGGTACTCTTCTAGAGATGGTGGCAATAAGACTAAGCCCGATGATGGAGGGGCAAGGAGCATGTCCCGCTCCTCGTATTCGGGGAGCCGATCACGCTCGCGTCGGGGGGATAGTCGTGGTAGAAGTAGATCAGGAGGGCGTAGGGGAAGATCTAGGTACGATATAGATAATGCATATCTATTTGACTACTGCTGTTTTTATTGAGGTCACGCTCGTACCGAGGCCATAAGCGTTCGAGTGACCCTCGTCGTAATGAGGACGAAATTGTAAGGCTACGTGATGGCAGTATTGGACGCACCCCGTCGCCCTCGGTTGAGAAGAAGGGTGAAGATGGGTATGATTATGAACAGATGGAGGTAAGTCTAGGGGAAGTCTGGGGTCATTTCCTATGGTGCTAATGTAGGTGTCTAATGCTGATGCTGCATTCGTGTTGGGTCGGCAGGGCCGTACTAAACTGAAGTTGGCTAGAGTGAGCCAAGCTGATATCGAGCTGAGGGAGAAGGTGCAGGGGGATAAGGCGGCAGGGGATATCATTGAGATTGGGGGGACGCCTGAAGTTAGAAGAAGAGCAATCAAGTATATAAAATGTGTTATCGCACAGAGGACAGGGCCTGTCATGGTGGACGAGGAGGTAAGCCTTAGGGGGAAGGGGAGGGTTATTGTTCATTGTTCAGGCTGATGATGATGACGATTTGACGGTGTTGAAGGTCCCTCGTGAAGCTGCTGGGTTCGTCACTGGTGCTGGTGGCTCCTTCTTGAGAGCTGTGGAGGAGGAGTGGAGTACGATTATGTTCTTCGCTGACTTCAATGCTACTAACAAGGACAAGACGGTGAGTAGCTCTCATCATCCGTGGTCGCATGGGAGTGCTTCTACAGAGGGAATTTGAAACCCTGGCGATATTCGGTGCGAAGAGATCGCGACAAGGCGCAATGTTGAAGGTAGCAGGTCGACCCAGTGGTGAGAGTAGAATGTTATGGTGTTAGGTTATGTCAGCGGTTGAGACTAAGATCCCTGGTCATTTTACTAACGATATCGAGCTCACTGAGTGCCACGATGAAGGGGAAGGCATGGATGTTATGAGGCTAGAGGTGACACTAGGTCTGTTATGGTTTGGAAAATGTCTTTATACGGCGTATAGGGATTATGGGCTTCTTAGTGAATGCTTACTATTGTAGAGGAAGGGGGGATTGTATTTGGACATGTGTGTTTTGAGAAAAGTAGAGGCAATAAATTCTAGGAAAAGTGTCGGTGCTGGGGATCGAACCTGGGAGATGTGTAATATACAACAAAATTGAAACTAGGTACTCATGTATGAATTTGTTCATGAGTAGTATCGTGTATGTAATTATTCCGATTTCGGAATTTTTCACCCACTTAGGATGATGAGATTTCGTATGCTTTGGGTAAGAAGGGTGGTACTCGTAAGAAGATCGCGGCTTCTAGCGGAGCGGTGGTGGAATATGTTGGCAACTATGTTCATATTTATGGCACTTTGGTCCAACGGCAGAAGGCCAAGGAGTACATCGATTGGCTGTTCGCCCAGTTGAAGGGACCAGTATGTGTCGATGCTACGGGAAGGGACGACTGCACTATTGTGGATGTCCCGAGGGAATGTGTTGGATATATTACTGGGTAAAAATGCAGGGTGTGGGATTTGAACTTGGGTGATCAACTATAGTAGAATAATAGGTATATAGTAGTGTTGATGATGATGATCTGTTATTTCCCCAGACTAGTCGTCTAAGACCATTCACTCTCATCACTAAGCATCTTCGTGATCGTCGTCGTGGTCATCGTCGTTGGCGTCTCGGGCACATTCGAGCGAACTTGAGAATCTACGCCTTCTCCTCCTCTTCCTCCAACTGTTGAGGGCCACGACGTCTTGGATTTCATCTACTGCATGATTGCGAACTAGTTCTACCAACGCGACGACTTATGGTGACCAGCAAAAGCAAAATCGGGCATCAGCATTATCATCGAGTAGAAATGACCCTGCTGGGGATCGAACCATAGACCTTTCGGCCGCGCTATCCTGAGCCCTTAGAAGGTGGCGGTGAATGTCATGCAGTTGGTCGTCGTCGACGCAGGTATAGGCGAGAGACCCTTGGACGTATTGAAGAGGAATGGGGATGCCTCATGTTCTTTATGGATAAGGCTAAGGACAAGAGAGACAAGGCTGCTATGAAGGATGCAACAGGTGGTTAACAATCGGAAGGTCCCTGGTTCGATTCCCGGTACGTGCTTTTTTACAGGTACCGAGAAACTCACCATATTCGGAGCTCAACGAAGCCGTCGTGGAGCCCTACTGAAGGTGTGTCTACTACTGACCATTCCTTTCCCACTTCGTTACCGCCCCTAGGTGATGTCGTCGGTTGAAACTAAGAACCCTGGATGGTTCACAGATGGCTGCACGGAGAAGCGCCATAAGGACGTGAAGGGCTTCGCTACTGACAGGTGGGCTTTTGGGCTCGATATTGGGAATAGGTAGAGATGATGATCAGGCTGTATCTCTCATCGGATGATCTCTCCTATGCTTTGGGTAAGCGAGGAACTACTAGGAAGAAGTTGGCCGCTGCTTCTGGGTGTATATTGGAGTATGTGGGCCAGTGGTGCTTCATGGCTGGCACTGAGGCGCAGAGGGAGAGGTGCCGTAAGTACTTGAAGTGGTTGACGGCACAAAGGCATGGACCTGTTAGTCTTGGTAGTAGAGACTTGAGGTAGGAGGACGATGTGGGGGAGGTGTGGTATGGTTGGCTTTTATTGTAGGGGAAGAGATGACTGGGATAGAGTTGAAGTGAAGAGGGAGCTACGCTCGCAGTTGGCTGGTAATCGTGGTCAAGAACTGAGGCGTGTCGAAGAGGACACCAGCACGTTCTGTTTCATGGCATATAATGAGGATAAGAGCGATGAAAGGCTGTTGGTGTTTGGGTATAGTCAGGCCAATAGGGAGAGGGCTATACGCCAGGTGGGTTATTGGCTTTATGTGTGAGCTGAACAACAACGTGTTTTATGGCAGATTGAAGAGCTTCTACGACAATTTGAGTACGGTAGAGGAGGGTATGATGATGATTACTCGTATGGAGGCTCGCGAGGGGGGTACAATGACAGGGGTGGCGGCTCGTCGTACTATGGTGGTGGTCGTGGTGGTGACAGTTATTATGGGAGGGGTGACAGTTATTATGGTGGCCGTAGAGGAGGTGACTGGTGGGGTAGCGGTTCGAGAGATCGTAGGGATAGTGGTTATAATAGAGGGGGTAACAGGAGGTCTCGATCGGCTTCCTATGGTGATTATAGGGAGAGCAGGAAGAGAGACTACTATTAAAATGGAGCACTCTGTTATAGGGCATTAACGTTGTTGGGTAGATGATCTTAGAAGTAGTATCGGTGAGGAAACCATTTCTTGATATAAGTGTTGTTGTAGTGTTGGAAGTGTTAATAGAAGGATTCACATTGTTGTTATTATATATAAACCTGAAGCTAGTGTTTGTTGGAGTTTCACCCATTTTACGTGAAGTGGCGTCGTAAAACTCTGTGAAAAGCGCGATATTCGCGGTGATATGCAGTAGTCGCGAAATATATTTTCCACCAGTGTTTTTCATATCACTAGGGTGAAACTCCATTTTATCAGATCTGCCTTATATATGTCAACAGTTGTATAAATATGAAATGATGAAAACATGTATATATTCCTAGGATCAGAGCGTATAGAATTATATTTTATATACGTTGATAATCTCTCAATGGGAAGCCAGGAAGTGGACACGATTTCTCAGAAACTGTAATCTCGGGGAATACACATTGTGGGTAATGCGATGAGGAGGACGGCGCCGATATTGGCTAACGCGAGGCAGAGGAGAAGTAGGGAAACTTGAGCTGGATGGCTACAGTTAGTGACAAACTATAGCTTCCTCGAAGTAATCATGCTCTAAGTCCCGCTATGTGGTGGCTGCATACTACTAGAGAGGGCGCACGCCCTAAACCCTTACAACATTGTGGGTAGTGCGAGGGGTTGGAGTATGTGAAGCCTAGGCTGATTAGGCATGCCTTTCTGTTGGAGGATATGATATGGTATAGGATACTATAGGGAGCTGATGAGACTGTGGCGTTGTAGTTCATGGAGTGGTAGGGATAGATTGTCTCTAATTGTGCTGATGGGTACGACTCCTCCCCACATAATTTCGTGGCGCGTGACGGTTTTGGGGACACAGGGTGTGTCTCCTTGGTGGCTAGAATAGAGGTCTACGGTACGTTGATTCTCCCGTTCTGTTTCGTGATGGAAGTTATTGAAGCTTCTATATAGATCGATCTTTAAAATGGCAACTGCTGCTGCTGGTGCTGGTCGGCGTGGTGTTCTACCAACAGTGTTAAATCTTGTGGCTCGTCACACCCCGGCCGTCCGTCTCATCGGAGTCGCTCCTAACTACATGCGACATTTCTCTACGAGTGAAGCGAAGGGTCCGAAACCGTGGGGGGATGCTGGCAACGAATGGGTGAGCACAACATTAAAAATGAAGTTGAATTTTTGTATAGGTGTTGGCTGATGTTTGTATAGTTCCCATGGGAGTTGGCACCAGTGTTTCCAAGTACGTCAGTGAAGTTGAAAAAGTTCTAAGGTAGGCTCATCGGTATCACACTGTGGTGGTTGTATAGGCCCTCAGGGGCCATCCGGGGGTAACTACTACACTACATGGCTATGGCACTAATATCGAAGGGCAGTGGTCGGATGTTATGGCGGCTGTTAAGGCAGCTCATGAAGTGCTGCATGGGATGGGTGAGGCGTTACTAATGGTTTTTGCATCTACTGGTGCTTTAGGTTGCCCTAGAGTGAGCTCTAGTATGAGATTTGGTACTCGAATAGACAAACACCAGACTATGCAAGATAAGGTGGATAAAGTTGAGAAAATCATTGCTGCTGAGTCTGCTGGATCTCAAGGGGAGAAGTGAATAATAGTTGTTATCAACAATATCGACTTTCTTCTGTACGGCTAGTGTTGGGTTCATTGTGGAGTAGCGCGCGCCCTGGTGATCGATTATGGCCAATGTTGTAGCTCTGTGGTGATCCTGATCCGTTTGATGAACCCGAAGCCATAATGAGTGAATGATAACAGATTAATAACCACGATAGTCGTAGTGTGTGGGGTGCAGTATGCCGTGAAACGCATCTATCCGTTTCACTTGGGCGAGTGAGAGATATACAGGATATAAAGAATGCAAGAATCATCATAGTGAGTGTATGAGAACTGAGTGGTATTGAATGATAGTGAACCACTACGAGAGAGAGCAAGATAGCAAGAGAGTTATCTTGGTTCTCACATATCTCCCCCCCTAAATATACGTAGTGAAGTGGAGAATATTAATATTAGTTGACTTCATTGATGGTATAGACAGAGGTTTCGGTCGGCTTGGACAGAGTCATCGCTGAGACGATAAGTCGCAGTACCGAGAACGTCCTTGATAGTAAGAGGGCCTGTCCAGTTAGGTTGAAGCACACCATTGGACTTGTTGTCGGTCCACTTGAGTACTTTCTGCCCAACAGCAAAAGTGCGGCGACGCGACTGGCGATCACCAAACTTCAGCATAACCTTAGCCTCAGCTTCTTCCATAGCATCATGAACCTCCTTGATCATAGCCTCACGGCGAGAGAATCGACGCTTAGCTTCGAACTTGACTGTATCAGCAGTGATAGTATCGGAGATGTCCTCGAACCGTCGACCGAGCGAACTGGCATCGGAAGAACCCATAAAGAGTTGTTGAGGAGTATACTCACAACCATCATCGAGGAGGCGATTGTTGCAGCGCTTTTGAGCAAGAGGAAGAAAGGAAGGCCAACGATCAGTATTGCCCTTGCACATGGCTTTTAGAACTTGCTTCAGTACCCCGTGTTGCCTCTCCAAAGCTCCATTGCGATTGGGCGAGTAGACTGGAACATACCTCACTTGGATACCCCAAGACGCAGCCCAACCACGAAAGTGCACTGATTGAAAGGATGCACCATTATCGGCAACGAAGCATCGTGGTGATCCTATCAAGCTGAACACCTGATTGTCGATAGTATCAGTGATGGCCTTTGAAGTGATCGATGAGACCGCTAGGAACATGACATATCTACTGGCCGCATCCATAATAGAGAGCACATACTTCGAGTTATGTAGGGTGCTTGGGGGAAGAGGTCCCACGGTATCAATGTACCACACATCGCTGACCCCAATAGAGTCGCGTAATGATGAGATGATAGGTAGTAGAGGACCACGTCGAGCACGTACATACTGACAGTAGCATTTACCAACAACCCGTTGCACCGTATGAGCGATGCGGAGGCAGAAGAAGTCACGACAGATGATCTTAAGAGTCTGCTTGACGCCACAGTGACCATAAGAGTGGTGGACGTGTAGGGCAAGGGACTGACCATATCGCCTGGGAAGCACATATTTATCCCGAATCCTCAGCAAACCGTTATCGTCAATGCGGAATTTCGAGAGACCTCTGCCAATCAGGGTTCGTAGCTTCTCGCAGTGTGCATCAGAGTCCTGGGCTGCCTTGAGCCAGGTACGAGCGAGTTCTGGTTCGAGAGGGATAGAGCATTGCAGAGGAAAGTCAGTACCAGTCTTCCAAGCTGTGAAGCAACGGTGCAGTAGAGAAGGAACAGGTAGAGACGACAGAGGATCCGTGACTGTGGCTGCAAAGGTAGTACAGCAGTGACAGCTAGCAGGATCTTGTGCAACATCGTCATGAAAGTGGTCAAAGTAGTTGGTAGCAGAGTGGCCTTGATGTGTGGGTATAATGGTCGGATGCTTGAAATGTTGGCCGTCCTCGATACATCGCGCCATGGTATCGCAGAGACTTGGCAGAGGATGATCTCTCGACACCCACAGCACACCATCGACGTAGGACTGGAAGATCATATACCTAGAATGCCACGAACCATAGTTGAGTTGGTCGAAGTTACACCACTCTTTAGTACAGTTGGCATTGTCGGTAATAGAATAGACCGGTGGTAGTAGTAGTGTCTTAGCAGCCTCTAGTAGCAATAAAAGGGCCATCCTTTCACGTGTTGTGCTGGACAGAGTCGACTCCAACTTTGAGAAACGACCACCGAAGATCTTCACCGGTAGCACTGAGAGAGGTCTTTCGCATCCCAGTAGCTCACTCAGAGACGGAGAACCCAGTAGGAGTGGATGGTCGTCAACGTTATGACTCGGATCCTGTGCAACTACTCGCAGGACGATACCACTCCATGAATGTTGGTTACCATCGGAGATGAGAATAGTGGCGATATGGTTGGCGTCACTCTCACTATACAGACTCATACAGGGTACTCCCGACATGTAGAATCCCATGACCTCGCGAAAGGCGTTCGGCACCCGTTCGATGTGCTCGACCAAACGAGGGTCATCGGTGTCGATGTTGTGGTCGCCGAAATCTTTTAGAGCATGTTGGAGTACGTCAGTAGCAGTGAGTATCCGAGGAGTGAGCCATCCTCTCATGTAGTTAGCCACACCAGTCCAACTTCGCAGCCAAGCCGTACGGTACTCTCGCACAGGAAGCTTACGACGCTTAGACTTCTTGTTCTTGGGATGGAACGGCAACCCCTTGATGAACACTTGTAGAGCGTTGTCGATGGCAGCGTCACTGAGTACCGTGCGTGATGGCGATGGTGTTACCCCGTGCGATGAGAGGCGTAGACCACAGAAGTCGATGATAGAGACTGGGCCTTCTTGCTTCTTATCGTTGATGTGGAAGTTGAGGTTGGTTAGTATCTCCTTGGCGATGGTCATAGCTTTGACTATATCGGCATCACTACTACCACAGAATAAGAGGTCATCTTGGTAGCAGACTACTGTAACGTCAATGCCACCCTTGTCAAGAGCTGGTTGAATGAACTCAGTGACGATCTTGAGAGTACCAAGGCCGAAGAGTAGACTGCTGAACTTCCATCCTTGGACCAAAGTGGTGAAGCGGTAATGCTGAACTCGATGAGATGACGGATCCTTGGCGGCAACAGCGAAGAATCTTGAGAGCTTCTCACTTAGATGGAGACTATAGAATGCGTGTTGAAGATCTAATCGACCGAAGGATACCGTACGTTGCTTGGGGATGTCTTGGATTTGTAGCAGAGCCGTGGTTAGGAACTGCTTGGCCAATTTAGATCTCTCAACCTCCTTGATGCCATCGCATGGAGTAGCCGTATAGATGAATCGTTGCTGCGAGTCGTAGACAAGTCGAAGTCTGTTAATGGGTCTGCAGTCAACTGTGACACGGAAGCGCTGATGAACATCAGGAGAGCTGGCACTTCTCGGAGCCGTAACAACACCGTCAGCTTTGTCCACAAGGCAGATCTCGCAGATGATGGGACAGTCCTCGGGCCGAACTTTCTCAACCTGTCCCCTCTTGGCCATGTCCTCAAGACGAAGGAAGATGATGGCATTGTCCACCGGAGCCCGTCCTCTCGGAGCTTCACGGAAAGGTTCCACGACGGCATGTTCCAGAGCTTCAAAGTGGACCTTGATGATCTTCTTCCCTGGGGAGCTAGGGTCCTGGACAACGTCGATAAGAGGAGTGCATTCCTCAGGATAGTGATCTCTGATGGCAGAGCTGCGAGCACAGTGACCAGCACGATCGACCATGGAGTTCGTCATACTCTCAGCACCATTGGATGACGGAGTAGATAGACCATTGATCTGAATGCCATGATCGCTCACCATACGGATTCCCAGATCTGAGAAGAGATTTCTTCCCAGGATGCAAGGGGGCTGACAGCCCGATACCACCAGAAACTGTAGAGGGAGACGGGAGAGCTGAGCGTCGTTGAAAGAGCAGTGAAGTGTGACAAGAGTGCTGCTCGAAAGGAGCTTCCCGTCGCCAAACTTGATAGAGATTGGGCTTGGGAGTACAATAGAGCTGCTCGGCTCGATGAGGCCATTGCGACTGAGGAAACTTATTGTGGATGAGTTGATCAGAGATATATTGGCTCCGCTGTCGACCAAGCCGACCAGTGGGCAATATCTCTTAGCAGTACCGACACGGATCTCGATAGTAGGATCCTGGGGCAGGGAGTTGACGAAACGTGTGGTGGCACTCAAACATGATGCCTGTGGGTCCTTTGAGATGACTGCCTTGGCCGTGTGGGTCTCTACCACGTGCAGACCAGAACTGTCGTCCTCACAGTCGTCACCCAGGGATACCAGTGAACACGTTGTCTCTGCGCTACCATTACCCTTCCTTGAAGTATTGGATGGCTTGCCACCAGATAGACCTCGTCGGCATACGCCGGATAGGTGTCCAGCCTTCTTGCAACGAGAGCATTGTAGTTGAGAACGGTTGCACCTATGGTTTTTACCAGCATCACCGACCGTGAGTTTACCACAGCGACCACAACGTTCATGTTGGCGATGGATACTACCAGTAGTGCAGGAACTGGCATGATGACCTTTCAGACCACATCGAATGCAAGCATTGCTATCGAGACCAAGCTCTACAGCAGCAGCGGAGTGGACTTTGGCGTTCATGGTCTTCTGATTGGCATCAGGACGAGTGACAAGACCTCCTTGAAGTTGTGGTTGATGTTGTTGAGACTGTCGTTGGATGCTCGAGGGAATGAGCTGGTTGTGACCGTTCTTGGATTCCAGGAAGCTCAACATTGACTGTTTGAACTCCTCGTATGGCAGTCGGAGTAGGGGATCCACCACACTCTTAGCCATAATGGAGTCTGCATCAGTGAGACCATCGGCCAGTCGTTCACTCATCTCGGCATTGCTGATGGGGATACCAGTAAGGGTCTCCTTGATATGGGCCACGTCCTCAACACGCTCAGCGAAAGCAGGGATAGCTTCCTGAGGGCGTTGCTGAAGAGTACGCCACTGTTGGTCAATGGCTCGCATCTCCAAACGGGTCATATTAGAGACATCCAAAACTTTGATAATAGCTACATGACCTTCTTCTCTAGCCACACTGATAGGAACCTTCTTCCTGACCCGAGACCTTAGTGGTTCGCGTAGACAGCGAAGAACAATAACAGCAGAGACTTGTCGGCTGCATTCGAAGTGGTCGATGGCAGAGCATATGGTAGCTCGCCATCTGGCATAAGAACCCACGTTAGTGATGTTGAGGATGAACTCATCAGGAAGTGGTTTTCCAAGGAGAGAAGAAGCTTGTTTGTGTGCATAGTCAGCAGAAACGACAGAACAATCATCCTTGACATAGAGAGGTCGCAAACCGATGGTCGAAGCATTCGATGAGGACAGCACAGTTGGTGATCCCGTTTGTAGATGAGGGACATGCAAACCCGTGCACGATCTTGAAGATGCTCTTCCACTCGGAACTTGTTGTTCCATTCGGGGAGGTAGAACTGATGTCGAGATACCAGCAGCAACCGATGTCGTCCGTGAACCCACCAGTTGAATGGGCGGCGGAGCAGATAGAGGCGTCCGAGAGGTTGCAATGAGTTTTTTCAGATCAGCACGAGAAGGTAGACCATCATCGTCTCTCGACAGAGTGGGCAAACCTAGTTTATCGACAATGATATCCATCAGGCAGCGAACAATCCACTGAGCGCATGGTTTCACCCATGGTGGAAGGTCACACGACAGAAGGTGGTCATCAGCAATGGTCACGCAACAGTCAACGCAGGCGTCGAAGGATGCTCGAAGGGAAGTGTGACTCGCTGAGGAGACTGCTTCAGTAGCTTGGCTTTGCTGACCACTGTCAGTGGCTGGGCCCTGACCGTCAGTGCCAGATGTTGTTCCCTCGACCGAAGCCTGTGTAGGGTCGGTTGTTGGATTTACATCAACGGCAATGGTCGCTACACAGTCTCTCAAGACGAGCCTGTAATCTCCTTCTCCGCATTCAATATGAACCAAGGCATCACCAATAGAGCCATGATGTCGCAGTAGTGCTTCTCGGCAGACAGACCCCAATATGTTGTAGCTCTGTGGTGATCCTGATCCGTTTGATGAACCCGAAGCCATAATGAGTGAATGATAACAGATTAATAACCACGATAGTCGTAGTGTGTGGGGTGCAGTATGCCGTGAAACGCATCTATCCGTTTCACTTGGGCGAGTGAGAGATATACAGGATATAAAGAATGCAAGAATCATCATAGTGAGTGTATGAGAACTGAGTGGTATTGAATGATAGTGAACCACTACGAGAGAGAGCAAGATAGCAAGAGAGTTATCTTGGTTCTCACACCAAGTTCTGTCTACAGTCTTCGTCGCTAATTTTGGTTGTTTGTCACCAGCTTATTGAGCATGTCGTCGTCATTATCTAGGACTAGAGCAGCGTCATTCAGTAGCGTACCAACACCTGAGGACTTCGTAAGGAAGTGTATAACTAGATCGCCCTTCTTGGTAGCGTTGAGAGAGGCTAACACTCCCCGGAGGCTGAGGCCACTCACTGTAGAGGAGGTAGGTACTGTTGGCTTTGGGGTAGATGATGATGATGTTGGTCGTCGTCTGTGGTCAGATAGAAGGATTGGAGGCGTCTGGGTGTAGTTCTGAAGACTGGCAGGAGGTCATGGTTATAGGGGAAGAGCCATTGGCTGTGAAGATGATAAGGAACTGTGCATTTCAAGGACGAGTTGAGATTGGTGTGGTAGAAGGTTCTAAGGTGGGTAGTGGTCTTCGGGGGGTTAGGCTCTGAGGCTCTACGTGTAGGTTACTCTCAGTGACTATAATCGTCATCAGCTACCGTGTGGCGTCACCAATAGCGTACTACAGGATGTAGTAGTAGAGGCTGGTACTCTGATAAAGGACTGCGGCCTTGTTGCTAGTACTGTTGTCCGGAAAGGTAGTACTACTACTACCACTCCAACCATCATTAGTGTCACTCCTCACCTCAGGAGCGGCCCTTATACGTTGTGGGGTCATTGAAGGGCCCTCACAATCCGACTGCTGTAGGTATGGTAATGGCCATACCTTGCCTCTGGCAGAGGAGACTGGTAGTAGGGAGACACGCCAATTTGCTGAGCTCTCGATCGAGATAGCGGCTAAGGTGTGTTGGAGGAGGATGATGACCTTGTTGTGGGTATGTACTCTATAGGTGGCCTCTGATAGAAAACTAGCGCATGGTTATCATAAGGCAGTGAACGATTATGTTGCTGCGGTCGAGGCTTGTGGAAAGGGTCGGACGATTGTGGACGAGAATGCAGTGGTAGGGATGAGCCTAGTTGGGTAGTTGTGTACTATGTGGTTGCCAGGTGTTATCGTGCTGTTCTATAAAGGGTAGTTATATAGGTCGCAAGGCGCGAGCAGTGAATTCTAAGATCCAAGACAGTGCTTTACTCGAGGAGAATAATGTTGAAAACTGCAGCCTTAGTACTGCTATTCTCCAGAAGGGTAGTGGTGGGCATAGGGCGAAATTGGGCCTACTTTGAATCTTTTAGCTGCGAGCGTGGTATCTTTTGGTATGGTCGAGGGCTCAGTACTGTGCCCTACGGTACATGTTGAACGACACGGAAAGGTTTTTGATTCTATCATAGGACCATGTTCAGGAGTGGCCGAGGTGTGGTATGGGATTTTGGGGTTATTATTTTTAACGTATTTTTTTCTCAGGGAGAGGTGACTGCATCGCTAATAGGACCTTTCGTTGGCTTCCATCACCAAGCCTTGCTGATTGCATGCTTCTGGCCAGCCGGTAGAGGAAATGTGGGGTATGGCGCCAACGTGGGGTCTAATCATACGGGCAAGGCCCCGGACCAGGAGAATTGGCCTGGGGAAGGGACATTCTTCGGATTGGCGTCGAATATAAAGTACCCTTTTAACCTGGTGGATGCGCCTTATTCTCTTATTGCTACTGGAGTCAGCTGTTTGCCGCAAGCGATAGGGGTAGGTGGATGTAGGATGTGGAGGAAATGTGGTATGATTGGGTTTAGTTACCATTTAGTCTGGTGAACGAGTCAACGGAGCACATCTCCGGTCTTTCTCCTGCTATCAATGAGGTTACACCAGGATGGATGCTCAGCGACAATATGTATTCGCTGTTCCGAAATGAAGCCAAGTTCGAATCCCGGCAGGGGAATCTTCCTAAAGATGGGGTTATGTAAGGAATTACCTTGATGTTAGTGGTTGTGCATGGGGATTTCATTCAGGTATCAATATTCAGTGTTCCGACCAGAGATAATGGATAGAGTCGTCAAGGCTCGTGATGCTTTGAAGGCTGTGGATCCTAAGGATGCCCGTCTGAGGGACGCGAGGGGCCGAGCAGTTTATACTGGTGGGAAAATATAAAGCACATGGTCATGTACATGGTGACGAGGTGAAACCTCTGAGAGAAAATTGTTATTGGTTTTTGTTAATTTTCATCAGAATTTGTATGTGAAATTCTATAATTAGTGAGGAAACTCCTGGGCTCAGCTGAAGAAAGCGAACATATATTCCTACTCCAACACTGTCTAGGTTAGACGGGATCGCTTAGAAGGGATAGTTATGGAATTTCATGGTTTTTCATTGGTATTTCGTATGGATGGCCATGGTGGTACTTGTTGGAATGATGGGAGAGTTCAGGGAGTTGTGGTATCGGAGATATTTGTCGTTCAGATAAACAGATCGCCATCTTGGGCAAGAACTGGATGAATGACTCGGCTCGACTCACAGCCATCAAAACCTATTCAACATTCCTTCAATGGTAATATAATTCTCGACTGTCATTACTAACCCAGCGGCGGGCGCGCGCTTTTGCCAGTGGGCTCTTCTGTTTAGGTATGCAATTAGAGGTTTATGGAGGAGGTTGGCGTTACATGCTGATGATGATGAGCTGCTGAGGACGCCTGGAAATGCAGCTAAGGCGGTAGAGTTTCCTTCTCTCTCTAGTTGTTGAGAGTAACTACCTAGGATAGGTTTCGAGTATATTGGCATACCTGAAGTCCCCTCCTGTAGTGGACCTAAGTCCTCTATATGAAGACCTTACTGCATGCGCCTTTCGAGATGAAGTCTCGCAGGCTGAGTTAAAGGACCTGCAGTGGGCACATGAATGCAAGGTAATGTGGCTGTAGTATTACTTCGCACAATTAACGATGTAGTTATGCCGACATAATCGTGCGTTAAAAATTCACGGATATCGTCGATATTACCCCATGGTCTTGTCTCTTCATCGTCTCCTATATAGGATCGCGGAACTGTCTTCCGCTATCATGTAGTTTACATGCATTTCGTGCATTTAGGTCATTTCTGCAATGTCGTGTCCGAGTTTTTTCTATATAACTCAGTGATTTCGGTATACTCTTCCGAGGAAAGTTCTTTCGTTCAATCCTGACTGTCTCCAGAGCAGCGTAGCTATGGCCGTCTTGTCTCTCGAAAGATGTCGGGCGAGCGAGATTGTCAAATGAGGTTAGTGTATTATTGTCAGATTCTTCTGGCTGAGTGCCATGACCCTCTGAATATACCAGCACTGTTGCGGTGGTATGCGGAGACGAATCAAGCGATCGCTAGGGTGAGTTGAAGTCGTCGTGTTGCTGACAAGTTCTAAATTGCTATCCTCTTAGTCGTGTGAAACGGCCAAGTCCCGGGACGATGCTAGGGGGGCGCGTATTATTGGGAGTAGCTATACTGAGGCTCATGAGGCGGCTCACGATAACAAAGTGGGTGGAAAAATTGTGGTCGTGAAAGTTGCATAAAGCTCAAAACGACTTTTCAGGTTTGTAAAAAGGCTATGGCGGAAGCGAAAAGTGTTAAGGACGATATTGAAAATTTTCTCGCTACTTCGAAGCTGTGAACTTCTCTCTGTGTAATTATTTTACTCTGTATTCTCCTGGAAAATTCCTAAATTCCTTTTTTTCCTGTAGTATGCTATCACTGTTGGTAGGGTCCCTCAGGCTGGGGTTTCTGCGCTGGTGTCAGCTTTGATGGGAGTGCTTTGGTTTGTTTTCTGTTGTTGTCCTTGGGGGGATTCGAACCTGGGAGGATCGTTTGCTGCAGTACATTGATCTCGTGGTGTTATGTCCGACACAGAGGCCCCCACTGCTACTACTACCCTTTACGTATCGCCAATTGCTGACCCTCTTATGGGAGGCAAGTTGAATGCTCGTGCTATGAAGCTTGTGAAGAAGGGTAGTAAATACTACTACTAGGGAATTGTTGTTGTATATGTCCTCTTTAGCTGCTACGACTAAGTCTTTACGGAGGGGCGTACCGGAGGTCCTGAAGGCCATAAGGAAGGGTAGTTGGGGGATTGATGGTATTAGTATTATGATGATGATGATCAGGTCAGAAGGGTATGATACTATTGGCTGCTGATGTTTACCCTGTGGATGTTATTGCTCATGTGCCGGCCTATTGTGAGAAGAATGGTATCCCTTATGCATACGTACCATCAAGACAAGCGTTGGGTAATCCAAAGGTCGTGGGTTCGATCCCTGGATGGGGTATTTAGGTACTGCCTGCCAGACTAAGAGGGCGGCCTCCGTAGTATTGGTGATACAGCCTAAGGATGACTCTACTTATACCAAGACTTACGAACAGGTATTCCTCCATTTTACCGCGCGCCACGAAATTCCCCCGTCAGGTCCACAAGGGGATCCTGGCCATCAATCCCTACCTGTAGAGATTCGGAACCGCTACCGACCAACGTTTTACCCCCGAGATATTACCAACGATTATACCCACCGCCAAAACGTTGCTTTCTATCACTTCTGGTATGGTCGTGTTTATACTAGGCTTGTGGGGCTTTCCTCGAGACATGTTGGAAATCGAGTCGGACGTATTTTCAGCTGCTTATGGGGGTTTGTTATGAGGCTTTGAAAAGTGTTGGAGTAGTAATGTATGTTCGCTTCCCTCCTCAGCTGAGCTCGGAAGTTTCCCCACTAATTATAGAAGTAGATGAGTTCCGGTAGAAGTCTTCACAGGAACCAACAAGAAATTTTCATATCATCACCATCACATGTAGTTGACCATGTGCATATTTTTCCACACCGACTGTGGAATCTTCGCACTGCGAAGATTTTGGGGGATATTCATCTGGGAAAATTCGGTTGATGAAGAGCTGTGGTTGTTGTAGTGTTCTGGTAGTAATGTCCGACACGGAGGCCCCCACTGCTACTACTACCCTTTACGTATCACCAATTGCTGACCCTCTTATGGGAGGCAAGTTGAATGCTCGTGCTATGAAGCTTGTGAAGAAGGGTAGTAAATACTACTACTAGGGGATTGTTGTTGTATATGTCCTCTTTAGCTGCTACGACTAAGTGTTTACGGAGAGGCGTACCGGAGGTCCTGAAGGCCATAAGGAAGGGTAGTTGGGGGATTGATGGTATTAGCATGATGATGATCAGGTCAGAAGGGTATGATACTATTGGCTGCTGATGTTTACCCTGTGGATGTTATTGCTCATGTGCCGGCTTATTGTGAGAAGAATGGTATCCCTTATGCATACGTACCCTCAAGACAAGCGTTGGGTAATCCAAAGGTCGTGGGTTCGATCCCTGGATGGGGTATTTAGGTACTGCCTGCCAGACTAAGAGGGCCGCCTCCGTAGTCTTGGTGATACAGCCTAAGGATGACTCTACTTATACCAAGACTTACGAACAGGTACTCCTCCTCAAAAACAAATAAATACCATCGAGTGCATGTTCAGGTTAAAAAAGGTATTATTGCGATCAACCCATATCTCTAACTTACCGTAAAAAACGATATTCCTACCGTTTCCTCTGTCGGCTCTTCTACTTGTGTTAATTCCCCTGATTACCCCTGTTGTTGAAGGCGTGTATGTTATATGAGGCATTATAGTCGTTCTGACTTCGAGTTCGGCTCGCTCCTCGGTGTTGGAGCCTTCGCCCAAGTGGTGCATGTACGGGATAAGCTCACAGGAGACGAATATGCATTGAAGATACTTGATAAGAAGACCTTGGAAAGGGTGGGTAATGCTATGTTCGTGATGGGGTATTGGTGTTTGCTTTAGTTGAATAAAACAGCACAAGTACTGAATGAAAGAGACACTCTCACTAAGTTGAGAGATTGTGATAACATAGTAAAGTTGTTTTTCACGTTCCAGGTGGGTGGTGGTAGGAGGAGGCACAGGTTCGATCCCGGCATGTTGCATTTTCTGTCAGGATCGAACTTGGCTCTATTTTGCGCTTGAGTATTGTGAAGGAGGGGATCTTGCTGAGGAGATTGGCAGATGGGGACGCGTCCCCGACGACCTGGCGCGGTTTTATACAGCGGAAATTGTAAACATGCTTGTACAGTTGCGATCAAAGGGTTTGGCACATCGCGATTTGAAGCCCGATAATATTCTCATTAGTAAAGGGCATTTGAAACTAGTGGATTTCGATGTTGCTAAAGTACTGCTATAGTCGTTAGTGATGTTGGTCATTAAGTGGCTCTCAGGCTACGTCACCAAGTTTGGCTCTACAGTGTGAGAGGAGTGCCTCTAGTGGTGACACGAAGTCAGTCTCGTCGACTACGCATAGTGATGATGATATGCAGCTGAGACGTATGAACACCTTCGTGGGGACAGCCCAATACGTGTCACCAGAGATGCTCAGCGACTCAGCCGTAGCAGGGTTCGCCTCGGACCTATGGGCTTTGGGGTGTATCGTCTATCAAATGGTTGTGGGGTATTCGCCCTTTCAGTCGGGTTCAGAGGATCAGACCTTCCAAATGATCCTCGCGACTCAGTATGATATGCCTGAGGATGTCTCTGAGGAGGCACGGGATCTCATCAGCAAGTTACTGGTATCAGATCCGGCCGAGCGATTGGGCTTTAGGAATCTGGGCGAGTTAAAGGCTCATCCCTTCTTTCGCGGTATTGACTTCGCGACTTTACCCTTTACTCCGGCTCCTCAGCGAATTCATCATGATAGGAGTCAATCGCTGAGTTACGGGAGCGTCGAGGACGATATGGGTGCTGAATTCGGTATGGCTTCCCATACTATGAGGATATCGATAGATGACAACTATGATCCGGATGATGACGATGATGATGAGAGAACCCCTATGGTAGGGCAGGTCTTTGGAGGCCACCATGCTCAGCGTATTATGCCGTTTAATTTTATTGAGGCGGCCAGTAGGACGGCGAGATCCCCGAGAAGCACTGAGAGTCAGCAGCAGTCTAGTAAGATTCAACAGGGAAGGGCCTCTGTTGAAGATGCAACGTTGACTTTGAAAGGTGCCACTGAGGATGGGGCTGATGAGCATTGAATTGTTGTTACGTCATATTCAGTCGTATGAAAGAGTATGTTCATTATCGGCTCCTTTTATTCATTTTTTAATATCTCTATTGTGTTATACGAGTAGCGGGCACATCATTGATGAACACACGAGGGGCTACTTAGGAAAGTCCATGTGCTTGAGCCTCCATACTATTTCTCGTATCAAGAATGACAAACGTATGCAAGTATATGTGATCTCCCACTAAACATTCGAGCAAAGCCGCGTGTGGAAAGTTGAGTTTGGGAATCTTGTGTGGAATTCTACTCGGCACTATGGTAACACAAGCAGAAAATAAGGTAGTGACAAAACATGAGACATGACGATAGACTCATGATGACGCTCTCTCCACTTCTTTCCTCTTCGATAGCGACTCTACCTGGGACGGAACAGGCCCGATCACCACTGTTGAACGAACTATTCGAGGTTCATGGAAGGTAACTTCCATGACCAGCGAGCGTCATCTGTTACCTTTTCCTGCAACATCTTCACTTCCAACCTTTGCATGCGGATGAAGTCTGTCTGCTGTTCAACCATGTGTCGTAGTTTATCTTTCTCCTCATTTTCCTGTCGGCTCCTCAAACTATGGACCCGCCGGTCCTTTTTACTACTCGAAAGATCTGCTGAGGATATAGATCTCCCTCCCTCTCAGAGGATTCACCCACGACACCACTTACCTTTCTTCTCACCTAAGGAAGTTTCCGTATTAGTTTTCTCTCTATTCCTTCCCTGAGCCTGTTGATACTTCCCACGAAGATCCCGCAATTCCAATTCGAGCAGTTTAACCTGATGGGGACTATAGGACGGCCCACAAAAAGCTCATCGAGGCGGCCTCACTTTATCCTCGAGATTCTTATTCCGAACACGATTGCCGTTGATTTCATTCAGTAGGGTTGCGTTCTCAGTAGCTCGACGACTAAGGTCCCGTCTGCTGGCTGCATTAGCGCGTGAAGACTGTCTAGTGAGGCTGTGCAACTGACTCACACATCGCAATCCTGTATATCAATGTACGACACAGGAGACAATCGTGATAACGATTTCATCAAGTGGTATTTATATAAAACAATCTACACGAGGGTCGTCAAGATACAGAACAAGTCCGAAACCATCCCATGTGCTCACCCTCTTATCCAACGCCTTCATTTGGCGTTGAGCTTCCTCTGAGCCAAGATTCTCCCGAGGGTCAGATGTGGACTGTGCCGACTTCATCATATTCGTCTGCCGAACGCCAATCAGGTGATAGAAGTGTCCCCCCACTGTCACCACTCACTTGTCGAGTTGTGATACTGCGCTTTACTGGGGTCTCCTCTGAAGTGTTCGAAATGATGATCTATCCTAGTCTGAGGACCTTCCCTACCGTCGCCGACAACATGCTGGTGATAGATCCTCTTCAAGAGCTTAGGCCACTCCTTCATATCCGTATGATGCACTACTGCCGAAAGCTCTCTCTTCAGCTCCAACAGCGTATCTTAGGTTCACGCGTGGTAGATACAGATGATGCCCAAATATACTCTTCCCCTCCACTATCGCCTCATTCAGCATCACCACTTCTTGTCGATGGTGAACAGCAAGATGAGCCTTCTGCTCGACATCATCCTCGAGCTTCCTCAACAGCCTTGCCTGACTATACACTGCTCCCAGCTCCATAATGAGCGTCTCTCATTAGAGAGAATACTATTGCACGTGAATGATACGAATTATCATTAATCACGAGTCGTCAATCACTATCAACAACCACGTATAGCCCTAGCATACACTACTAGAGAAGTTCTAGAAACCTCCAGAGGTGATGAAAGTCGTTTTCCACACGATAGTCTTCGAGAACTTCTAAGCGTGGACCCATGGTTTAATTTAATCATCTGCTACAACGTACCCGCTGAGCTGCTGACCTTACGTCGCTACCCCAAGATGGTATAATCGTATCGGCGTACGAGGACATGACTCCGCCACACACACAAAGAGAGGAGACATTTCCCTACAATACTCGACATCCCCTCCCCCACCTGTCCCTCTAGTTCTTGTTGCGTCTCAACCAGCCTCTTCCGGAGCTGTTTGATCTCCTGGTCCTTGGGGGCCACCGACTCGCTAATCTGCCATACCTCCTGCCGGCTCCTCAAGAGGCGTCTTGACTCACCTCACGCAGTCGGTACTCGACAACTGTCCTTGCTTTAGTCACCGACTCCACCTTCTCACGTAAGGCCCGAACCTCTTCCTCCATCTGTCGCCGACCTCGGACGTGCTCACCACTCTGCTGCTGCAAAGCTTCTATTCTGAACGGCAAGGTTTTTAGTCCCTATCCGACCCCCCCCCTGAAGAACAAGCCCAATGTGAAAATATATGTTTGGTTTTCTTCAACTGAGCTCTCACGATATTATGAAAATCCATGGGTAGAAGTATGAAAAATTCAACCATAATTTCTCAAAATGTAGTGTTGACACATGTAGTTGACCATGTGCATATATTCCCCCCACACTGGACAAGTCACCTCCTCGATTGCTCCTCCAACTTGATCTTATAAGCATCCATAACGCTGGAGGCCTCGGCCGACTCGTTTGCCAACCTCAGCTTCTCTTGCTGCATCGCCTGTATACCCTTAGCTAGGTCCTCCTTCTCTTTAAGGCGTTGCTCAGCTATAAGAACCACTACTCAGCGGGGATGTCGACTTCACTCACCGTCTTGGGTGAGCTTTCTGATTTCCTCGTCCTTCTCGCAGATGATTCTATTAACTTCAATTTCTCTCTCATTCGTCTCCATTTCCAACATAGTTTCATATCTCACCATATCATAGTGTATCAAAATTCGCATTATTTTTTACTTACTTTTTCCTGAGATCTTCGGCCAACTCCTGGCTGGCCTCATGGGCCTCTGTGGCTCGCCTGAGACGAGCTTGAAACTGCTCTCGAAGAATTTTCTTCTCTCGCTTCGACCGATCGCGCTGCTCAGCCTAGTGATAATTTAATCAACTACTGTTATCAAAAAAATCATGTCAATGAATGGGGAAAAAAATGAAAAAATTTCAGTTTTTGTGAAAAAGAAGAAATGAAAAATCGGTCATTATGAATATAAAAAGTAAGATCTCACTCATCGTGGTATGATGAACCTTCATCAGGAAAGGAGTAGGATGTACTCGAGGAATGGTATCACACCAACTACGTGCCATCAGAGAATCCAAAGCGAATATGATGGAGTTTCACCACCCTAGTGATATGAGAAACACTAGTGGAAAACATATTAACAACTATTACGAGGCGCAAATATCGCGTTCTTCACGGAGTTTTACGCCACTTCACGTAAAACGGGTGAAACTCCAATAATAAAAATCATCATCACAACTCGCCTTACTTCTTGTATTTGGCTTTCCTCAATATCCCTGCGTCGACGTCTCTCGAGCTCCTCTATCCGAGCCTCTCCCACCGCTAGCTTCCTCTCATAACGAGCTGACAAGAATTCAACAACCACGTCGTGCTTGTTACTAGTGAGGAATGAGTCTAGGACATCTTGTAGCGACAGTAGCAGTGTCGAACAGGATCAAACTAGACACTCGCCATCATCATCATTTATCAGGTTATAGTTTCACCACGACGTGTTCACAATAATTCCCTTTGGCCACCTTCCAGCTGCTCAGTCGTCTCTACTTGACTCGTCTGCATAGCCCTCATCCTCTTCAGTGCATCCTTCTCCTGCCAGACACACTCCCTCAGAGGGCACCATCATCTCCTCCCCCACCTTGGCATCAGCAGCTGCCTCCAGTGCTGCATACCGTCCTCGGAGTTCCTCTATCTCTGCCCGATCGCTGTCCCTAGCCTTCGACACCTCCTCCTCCATCTGAGTAGTCATGGCAGCGATGGTCTGTGAAAGCTCCTTCCTGCGGAGCGGCAGAGTCCTCGTCGTTGTGGACAACAGACAGGACTCACTCGAGTTGGGCTATCATCTTGTTGGCTTTTGTTATATCATCTCCTCCCGCCTACCACTCCTCGAGTAAATCACCAACCACTCAGTGACCACCTCCTTACTGTGAGGCGGTCTCGACTGATGGTGAGAGTGTCCTTTGGGAAACGAATCGATCGGTTGTGTTGTAAGGCTGAGATTAGAATAGAAGATGATACAATAAGAACAACAGCAGGGCGCTACTACTACTACTACTACTACTACTACTACTACTACTACTACTACTACTACTACTACTAGGAAGAATTCGCATATGGTCAACTACGTGTATTGGTGATAATGTGGAAAATTCCGAGGAAGTCTTGGGAAATTCTTGTTCGTTTCTGTCTCCGAATTCGTATACAAACATCTACAGTGAGGAAACTCCCGAACTGAGGATCTATTCCTCTAATAGTGCTCGCTACTGGCGAGACCTACCACTGCTACTCTCCCCAACTCTGAAGAATAATACAGCTCTATCATCGCCAATGGTAACCACTCCGACGCCAGGACTAAGAAGGCAATGCGAAGATGAGCTGAGAGGATACCGACATCGTATTTAGCGCTTTGACTGGGCCAATGTGAGCGTTGTAAGAATCGATACAACTCGAGTGGGGTCCACTGATAACGTCGATAGTGCCCTGGGAGGTGCCCACTAGCAGGGGAGGTGACCCCTCAGGGCTGCCGTCTGAACAGATGTGATAGCGAGGGGCGCGGCAGATTGATTTACCCCAATGTGCTAGGGCGGTCGGATAGAAGGCGCCGGGCAGGTCCACAGTCGAGGCCCATGGGGTGACTTCGTAAACGATCTGCCACGAGGAGGTTCTTGGCACAGACCGCCGTCACTGATGGATACTTCCCCCTTGAGAAGACGTCTGAGGACTCCCTGGTATCGATAGGATCGACCTGATGATGCAGAGGCAACTCAACGGGAGCTCGGGATGCTCACCTTGGCCTGGCGTGGTGATCAGACCACCTACGACTATCTCCGACCTACACGAAGGGGTAACTCCGAAGCAGGAGGGAGCCTCCTCACCGGCTGTAGGTCATGGAAGTGTAGACACAGCCGTTAGTGGAAACGTGCTCCCATTTACGCGACCAAGATGCGCATTCCCATTCGGTGACCTGTCGAGAGGCATCGATGGGAGAGGTCCAGAGTGTCCCTACATAGCTCGAGGAGACAGCATCGGTGAAGGCAACAGCCAGGTGGCGATCTTCTGAGTCGAAGGAGAGGCCACATACTCCTGGATTGCCTTGGGAAAGGCAGCTTATTCGGCCTGAGGGGTGAGGTGGTGGTGGTGAGAGTAGAGTGGGGGTATTGAGGATCCAGAGGTGGTTGTTGAGGAAATAGAAGTCACGGAAGGAGTGGTATGTATTTAAAGTAGTAAAAGTTACGGAAGGAGTGGTATGAATTCAAAGCAGTAGAAGTTACGGAAGGAGTGGTATGTATTTAAAGTAGTAAAAGTTACGGAAGGAGTGGTATGAATTTAAAGCGGTAGAAGTTACGGAAGGAGTGGTATGTATTTAAACGGTAGAAGTTACGGAAGGAGTGGTATGTATTTAAAGCGGTAGAAGTTACGGAAGGAGTGGTATGTATTTAAAGCGGTAGAAGTTACGGAAGGAGTGGTATGTATTTAAAGCGGTAGAAGTTACGGAAGGAGTGGTATGTATTTAAAGCGGTAGAAGTTATGGAAGGAGTGGTATGTATTTAAAGCAGTAGAAGTTACGGAAGGAGTGGTATGTATTTAAAGCGGTAGAAGTTACGGAAGGAGTGGTATGTATTTAAAGCCGTAGAAGTTATGGAAGGAGCGGTATGGATTAAAAGTAGCATGATAATTAAAGTACCAAGAGCGAGTGATATAGAGGAATGTGGAGGGGCTCAACGTGGACAATCTACCCCTGCCTTCCGAAGGTCCAACTCTGAGGGTAGCAATCTTGGCCAAGCCGCGATGCATGCCAAAGACTACCACCTGAGGTGAGTGTGGTATGGGGAGATGTTCGAAGAGCTGATGATGATGATGATGATGATGATGATGATGATGATGATGATGACCTGTTTGGTGTCTCCTCCGACATCCCCAACAGCCAAGTACTGCCCACCAGCACTCCACACCAGTGGCGCTGCTTCGGTAATCAAAACTTCCTTCAGGACGACGAGGTCCTCGTCTACCACCTGAGTCGAGGTGTCCAGAGACCTCCATAGGCGAACAGGAGAGGTACCATTAGGATTCTGACTTTCTCTGTGAAAGCCACTGCCATGATAAGACCACCGACCGGATGGATCGCAACGTCAATAGGCTCCTCAGTGAGGAAAGCCCGGCTGAAGACCATGTAGGGTGAGGGGAGGCCTGGCAGGGGGGTCGCCATGTACGTGGACAGCGGCAGCACTCACGCCAGATCCTAAGAGTCCTGTCTTCTCTCGATACCGTTACCATCACCTCTCGTAGAAGGCATACGGACAGGCCTATGATGGGCTTGGAGTGGTCTCGGGCCTCGAGATTGAATTCTCACCGGTAACCGCTTCCGAATGGAAACCTCCAGAAACGACTATCGCCTCCACGGGCTTGGGGGGAGGACCGTCTTGGTGCCAATGTGGTACTGCATATACTGCGGTAGAGGGGAGGGCTGGAGGGCTAGTACAAGGTCAGCAGGATGCTTGGGGGGGCTCACTCAGGATCTCCCGGCTGTGAGTAACGAATACCATCCATTCGCCACTTCGGCATAGGTCTACGGACTCCAGGACGACTTGAGGTCGGTCTAGTGAGACTCGGCGTATGAGCCTAGACAGAGTTATGGTGATTTTGGAGGAGCGTACTGGGTACTTATAGGGAGGCTCTTGTTCCCGGTGGTGACCACCTTCCTCCCATACAGTAATCGTCCCTCCACTGCCGACCACGATGAAGCCTTCGGTGAGGGAGCAGACGGCTCGAGGGCAGAAGTTTGGCAGAGGACAGGGGAGTTGGAAGGTGAGAGTGGGCGAGGCTAGTAACAACCTGAGCTGTGATCCATGCAGTGAACGCTGGAAGTCTCCTCCCCACCTCCCTCCTTCAGAGACGGCGATGATGTGAGGACCATTGCATACCGCAGAGGACGACAGCCAAGCATGGTCAATGATGCGCGCATCCCCCTCTGTTTCTGAGGTCTGATCACGGAAAATTTCCCCAGCCCTATGCCGACACCATCTACAGGAGGAATCTCCTTCAGAACGCCCTCAGAGTCGCTCTGAACGAATCTATACCCATCCCGACCAGCGACGCAGAACAAGGAGGAATCGTCGGGACAAAGGGTGACCTGTTAAAGACTGTTATCGCTCTTTTTGCGTTGGTGGCGAGGTACGTCGCTGAATTCACCACTGACATTGAGCTGTTTGCTATTCTTGGTATCGATGGAGATCTTTCGAGGAGCGGCGGAACTCTACAGGGACGGGAGCAATGGAACATCCCAGCTCTCCAGTGCCAACCTTCTGAGTTTTGCCTTTCTTGCTGTCCCATTCAGTAACGTGGAAGAGGTCTCCGGCATTTGTGAGGACGACCAGACTACCACCATTGCTGGACAAACCGATCGAAACGATTTTCCCTCCCTCTTTCTCCTAAGGGAAGACTAAAGGGAAGTCCATCCAGAGGCAGTATGAGCTCGCCTTGGTAGACTCAGGGAGGAGTAAGACAGCTCGGGGGTGGTTGCCAGGGACAGTCGGATCGTAGAGCCCTACAGCCATCTGAATTGCTGTACTATGAAAGTCCTCTATGAGTTGAGGTCTTCACCTGGCCGTTCGTGAGCAGCTGACCGACGGCAAGTATACCACAGTCGAGGCTCTTAGCTACAGCAGTGATCGCTCTATGGGAAACCTCGATAGGAGGGGAGAGGATGTTCACAGTATTGGAATCGACGTGACGGAGGCATACGTGTCTTCCGCATATGTGAACCTTGCAAGCGGAAGTATATTCCGTCGAATAAGGGTTGATGTTCGAAGCAGACTCACCACGAACTGTCCGGTCTCGTCAAGGAAAAATACTGGGCCTGGCCTCAATGGTTTCGCGTCGTCAGTACTAGTGGTCACACCAAGGGCGTGCATTAGCTTCAACCTCGTGATAGCACGTTCCTCGCCGCCCTTCTGCGGTATGCGATTGTCAGGCATCGACATCGTGGGCGAACTGATGCACGCTCAAAAGTTGATATCCTCAATTCAATTCATAAATAGTTACGGGTGGACTCTCGAGTGGAATCGGTCTTACTAACGGCGAAGATGATTCCCACACATCGGAATTGGAGTCACTTCGGTCGTACTCCGGCGAATTTGATTCAACTGAGGCATATCTTGGCATACCTGTGGCATAGCCGCCCCTTCCCGACAGAATTGATCTCACTAAGAGCTAAGAAATATGCCTTCAAAATAAATAGACGGCGAGGCCAACAAAGAACAGCATCATACCGTTACGACAGACCTCTACTCATCTGCTCATATGTACGGAGGCATATCTTAGCATACCTGTGGCATAGCCGCCCCTCCCAAGACCTACGAAATATACCTTATCAAGACCATGTACATGATTCGATATCCCCTCCATCAGGCGAGTGCCCCGACCAGCTCCCTCCAGCCAAGTACACCCCTTCAAAAGCATCCCTGTCTGATAGGTTATCTGATGATGGGGAGGTGGTTAGGACAGGTTGCAGCGAGGCCACTCGAGGGAGGGGAGAGCCCATTCCTTCCGAAATGTTTCATAGGCTCTTGTTGGTCATCCAACAAGTCGGCGATCTTCAGCTTGATCTAACAACAGCTGTTAGATCAAGCAAAGCGAGCCACACTTGTGCCGCAGTGACGGACACCAAGTTGACATTAGGACGTTTGGCTAATGGTGACATTCACCACAAAAGCTGAGGAACTCATGTGGGTACTGAACACCGATCATGGCGTAGAGGGAACTAAGCTCTCCGTTGAGAACGCTTCTTCTCCCACTGGGCTGGTGTGAGCCTTTAAGAGATATCATCATGACGATTTACAGAAGGTGTGGTACCATGAATTGTTTCGCAGTGGACTAGGAAGCTCAATCAGACCCTCACCTGGAGACCGAGAGCATGTAGCTCTCCCGAACCCAAAAGATCCCTCACAAAGTCCTACACCTGAAAAGATATGGATGAGGTTGGGCCGAGGACAACCCGCCTTACCTCACGATGATGCTTGATCGTTGACATCCCCTCGAAAATCGGATCGACCATCAACACAACCAACTAACAAAATGGTCACCTTCAGAGGCTTCAGTGGAACACAGGACAACACGATGCCACCGGTCTAGACGAACCTGAGCGAACAAGCATGTCGCCGAGAGAGTGAACGAGAATGGTCCTCACAACGTAAGGCAAATGCTTTCTGAATTATCCTCACCCACAGGTTTCCGCTGAAGTAGTCGCAAGGCCCTTCACTGGACACTCCATAGACTAAACCTTGACAGCAACGCTGTTTCGAATCATAATATTCATCTGATATTAATGAGATTGAGCATTAACACTCTGCGAGAAACTCAGGAACTATGCAATTAACATTCTGTGAAAATCAACATGAATTCGGAGCTTACCAACACTCTTCCTCATGTCGTTATTAGCCTCACCTTAGCTGTTGCGTTCGTGTAGTGATCTTTGGTCCTTCTCTCAACTTAATTTTGAATAGACATTTCCAATCCATATGTTCGTAGACATCCTCTCACTAATATGAACACAAGTCGACATTGCTTACGAAAAGATTCTTCGGCGAAACCTGCTACAGCTGGTAGTACTTTCTACGACTGATAATGATTATGGGGAATAAAATTATACCACTACGGGGTAGCAATGAAAAATAAGATAGATCCGGACCAGCATACACCCCTGGACCTTCCCACAGGGTGCAAAGTCCCTCAGAGTAAATATTACATACGTTGCGTCGAGTGAATCGCGACTTAGGCGATACTAACGAGATATATTATTGCGAAGATACTTCAACTGGACTCTCAACTGATAGGTAAGATAGGCCCTTGGGCATCCGAATGCAGCACAGGCATAAAACTTTGAGTGTGGTTTAACTGACTGGAGGAGGACGACGATACTTGTTCATTAGATGAAGCTTGACAGACATCCTCATGGTGTGGATAGACACGCTCTTTAAGGGTCTTAACGAATGCCCTCATGCCGGGGGCGTCAACTACGTGACGATACTTCATCATCTCAGCTCTATCACAAGAAGCGTCAGCAACATCCTGTCGTAGTGGGCCGTATACCTCTCTACCTCTAACTCGTACGCTAGCTCTGTAACCCTTGTGCATACGTCTAACCCCTATAGGAGCAGCATAATCCAGTTTCTTGGGCTTCTTGATTAACAGCGTAGAGGGATGTCGATCGGTAACATGCTTCATCTGCTCAAGGAGCTGCATCACCTCAGTGTTCGTCATACCCCTCTCCGCTCGTAGTCGATGAACCTCCTTCTGGTCCTCAACACATTGATGAACAGTCTCACGGTACGGCCCAGTGGCCTGTCGCCCTCCGTTCCTAAGAATAGTCACCCAACCATGAACTCTACGAACCACCCTCACCGGACCATTGGCATCATCATTCGGGAAGTTCTGTGCACCAGCGAACTTGCCCGTAGCATTGTTCGCCTGAGACCTCCCCGTAGATCGCCCTATAGTAGGAGTAGTTACCGCAGCAGCTAATGGTGTAGGACCAGATGACTGTGAGACGACCGCAGAGAAGAGTTCAGGGCCGAGGATAAGGGCAGGCCCACTGTGTTGTTGCCCCTGGAATGGACGCTTTGGGGGGCGATGACTGAGGGATGAAGAGTCTGCAGAAGCCTTCGAGGTGTCTGATGGTCCCAAAGTAGATTTTCTACTGTCACTTGTTGCTAAACCGACCAAGGCCGAGTAGAGGGCTTGACTGTGATCAAGGCCTTCTGAGGGGAGATCCCTGTCAACATCAGTTGAGGTGAGCAACTTGATAAGCAGAGCAGAGTTGTCATTAGACCCGATCACAGAGGTGTCAGGAACGGCGTCACTCGGACCGAGATCGTCACCAATAGAAGGGCCACAAGGGAACTCTTCGGTGCTGCTCATCTTAGCCATCTTTCTCGCTCTCTCAAAGGGGGCCTCATCATCGAGTCCTTCGAGAGTGGGGAAGAAGTCAGAGCCGTTGAGATTGTTTCCCGGCAGATAGAGAGTCTCAGACATCCCCGAGGTCAGGTCACCGGGATCCCCACCCTCACATCCAGCCGGTGGTATGAAGCCAGATTGGTCCGAGTGCTTATCAATGGGAACATTATCACCACCCGCCGCGTTGCGTTCAATGTCGTAATTCGAGTCGATAGGCGTGGACATGCGTATGTACATACGTCAGAACACAGATTTTGCACGCAAGCGCTAATCCAATGTCGTTAGAGGAAACGCAAGATTTTCAAGATGTGACGTGACGCCTCTATGCTGGGATGCCCAGACCTCTCAAGTTGAGAGTCTCAACTAAATTCATATGATAACCTTTTTCACCCACCATTTTAAGACTTTGTCACGTTATGAATGTTGAGGTCGTTGAATGAGGGTTAGTATCAAGCAGTTTGGTTGTGATCGGTCAGTGTGCGGAGATGACAGGCGAGCGCTTTTGTTTCGCATTGCCAATATTAAATAAATTTTGGTAATCTCAACGCTAGCATACCCTCACGATGGGAACTGAAACTCTCTGGGACCGCCTCCTCTGCAAGAAACCGTGGATTCTGATAGTGGGTCTTGACGCTGCGGGTCTACTACAGGTGACGGCCTTTACGAAGGCCTCGACTGACTCAGCAGAGTCTTATGTGCGGGCCCCGCACTGCGGGGAAGTAGCATGTTAGCAACGAATGGTTACTAACCATGGTCAGTAAAGACGTGGGCCAATCACCACTCACGACCGTTGCACTGCATCGTCGTACGGATTATCGCATAAAAAGTTATGAGTT